GGCTGTGTTGCCTAGGCGAAGTATGCTCCATTTGTCAGCGTTGAACAGCAGGAGCCAACGGTTTGACCACTCCTCCAACCGATTCAAGTTCATCTGCAGTCTGTCTTCGTCGGCAGGATCCCGAATTACACTCCATATCTTCATGTTATCGGCAAACATTGCTACTTCGCAGTCTAAAGTTCTTGCGACATCGTTCACGTAGATAAGGAGCAAAATGGGCCCCAGTGCCGAACCCTGGGGAACACCACTCTCGACCATGGCCGGGTCTGATTTTCCCCGACCGATTCACACAACCTGGTGTCCACCTAAAAGGAAATTTTCGATCCATTTGAGGAATTTGCCACCGATCGCTATTTTTTTGAGTTTATGTAAGAGCCTCTGGTGTGGCACAGTGTCGAACGCCTTCTGGAAGTCGATGAAGGCTATGTGGACCTTGTGCCTGCCGTCGAGAGCTCGGGTCCAGCTCTGGAGAGATTGCAGCAAAATTGTCGTGCAGGATCTTCCTTACCGGAAACCATGTTGGCATTTCGATAGCAGGACGTGAACTTCCAGGTATTGCATCAGTTCACTGTTTATGATCCTTTTCATAACTTTGCAGAGCATGCATGTCATGTTTATGGACCTGTAATTTGTCGTCGCTGCCCTGTTACCTCCTTTGTGTAGCGGAGTAATATGCGCCAGTTTCCAATCGATATGTAGTGTTCCAGTGACAAATTACGTTTGAAAGTGCATCGATAAATTCACAGAGAGCTCACTGAAAAGTTCCTTGAGAAGCTTGGGTGAAATCTCGTCTGGTCCCGGCGACTTCGATTCGTTCAATGCCTTTAATTCTCTTCGGTCAACGTCTTCTGAGAAGAGTATATCACTGAGCATATCACTTTCTTATGGAATAGCCTTCCAATAAATATATGATCTTCAGATAATCTACACGCATTTAAGAGATGGTTACGAATGTATCTGCATACTGACTCGATTAAACTTTTATTTTCCTCATCCTTCCCAGACAACATTCTCTATGACACTGAGAAAGGGCCACCGGAAATTTAGTATGCCACCATTAAATTTCCGTAGTTGCTCACATTTCCTTCATTTATGAGGCGTTTCTTTTCCTACGATCCCCCATCAAAAGTGTTAATTTTTCGGTTTTTCAGTCCATGTCTCCCATGATGATTCCCGACTCAATCCTTTTGCTCAAGTCTACATACAGGCCGGTCCTGCCTGACTCGCCTGCTTACCCCTCTATGAAATCCGTCATACACTGCCATATACACTCCGGTCCTGCCTGATTTTTACAAAGTAAGGCGCGAGAGTTTTTTTCTCCTATAATTCTAATCCAATCATACTCATTTTTTATGTTAGGGTTTTTTTTACTACTCGCTCAAAATTCTTCATAACATGCTACTTATTCAAATACTATGAGTTAAGTACTCTAATAATTCTGTATGCATCGTCTAAAATTCTAAAATTAATGTAAAAGCTATTCTTACTTGCTATGATTGGACCCCCACGGGTCTTGAATAAAATTTATCACCACTATTATATGTTGTCACCAGCAGGTCGGTGGTTTCCCATACGCATGTGTGACTTTTTTCTCCTTGAAGACTATTCAAGTGGTATCAGTTTCGTTTTTTAACCAAATTAGAAGGAATTCTTCTGTACTGTCAGTCGACATTTTTCGTATCAGGCAGCATTTTTATAAAAACAGGCTAAAACTTCTACAGTGTTTGCCCAAACACTATATTTTCGCTCGAAAACGTATTTTTATCTATTATGGAAGTACATACGAGGGGGCTAAATAAGACAACTTGTTTATTTTTTAACCCATTCCTTCAGTATCTGCTTTAAACACTCTCAGTCCTTTTCTGTAAACCCAAACTCAATCATAAATAAGTTACAAAGGAATATGAAAGTGCTGTGAAGTTATCACTTGGTCAAAAGAATTGTCACTCCTTTTCCACATCAAAAAAGGCTACCACAATTTTCGGGTGTCGAATCCATCGAACCAATCTTCCGTTCTGGTGGAGTTCGTAGCTGCTGGTCCCTATGCCGCCTCTCATCTTGTTGGAAATGGTACTGGCCCTGCAGCCCGCCACATACCTGGCAATTTTTTTAACCGACTTTGAGCATTTGTTAACATATGCATCCTCTTTGATGCAGTCCCAAGTCCGTTGGAATGAATGCAGGCTAAAAACATCCGATGAAGTGTTGCCCACTCCCCTTTCCGAGTGACACCATTTTATGGGCTGCAGTTTTTTTCGCCTGAACAGCCCAAACTATAAAAATACTTACACCTATATTTTCTTCTCCAGTAATTTTTATCACTTATAGCTTTATCCGTACTGTATACTTTTGACATTGCCTATAAAGTGGCGTAAAAATACAATTATTATTATGATTGTCATCAGATAAATTACTCGAATCTTTTACTGACGAATTGCTCCCGTCGATCGTCGGTGCATTGAAATCTCCGGTGATAGGTGCGTCATGGTTTTGGGCCGCTTACTTAATCAATCCAAACATTATCTTATTAACATCAGCCGTTTTATTATGCAGCCTGTGTGCGGTCAGGACACTCGTACTGTGTGCTTTACGCATTACTAATTTTAATTATATTGTTTCACAGCCAGGTGAGCAAGCAGCTCAGCGTTCATATTCGACAATTTCCCTCTTCATGTAGGCGGATGATCTTCCTCATGTGTAATGTAATCGGCCTTGATAGAATACTTCTTTTCTTCCGTTTGCAACTTCATCATCAGACACTCCAACCTGCGACCAAATTTCGGTAACAAAATAACATTGGACTGCAGGTCTTTTATCCCGACCTTTAGCTCGTCCATATCCTGGAACAAAATCTGTGCATTTGTAGAGACAGCTATTCGGCCGATATTTGGACAGAGATTGTTGGATATTTCCCGTCATTTCCGTTGGATGACTTCGCTTCAATGGACATTGCCCTTTACAATCTGACTTTTTATTATAGTAAGTGTCATGGGCTCTTTCCTCCCGAACTTTTCGAAAGACTCTTTCGTGTCTTTGTAAGACCTCATCTAGAGTATGGAATGCCAGCAGCTTCACCATGGATGAGGAAGGATATCAACTTACTAGAACAGGTGCAACGCAGAGCGACAAAGATGGTCGACGGTCTAAAGCATTTGTCTTATCAGGAGAGGCGGAATTCGCTTGGCCTTTTCCCTCTCTCTTATAGACAAATAAACTGCAGTCTACTCTGACGTTCCGGATTGTTCGCGGCCAGGGTTGCTCATTAAGAGCAGAGGACTTCTTCGAGTTCGCCCGTACAAACCAACTACGCGGCCATACATACAAAGTCGGGAATGAGCGCACGCGTTTAGACCGACGAAAATTTTCATTCAGCCAGCGGGTTATCAGGCCGTGGAACTCGCTTCCAAGCGAGATGGTGACGCTGACACAGTTTGTGTGTACAAAAGAAAACTTGCTCGTTTAGTTTTCGACAGAAATCGGCTTGTACAGCATGATTATGCACAGCCAGTTTTGTAAAATCTGTCATATGCAATCTTCCGCACTAATTTACAGTGACCCTATGCACGACCTTTTGATTACGATTGAACTGTGACCCAATCACATTTTAAATTCCTGCAACTTTATTTTATTTTTGAGTATGAATCTGCGAAAGCACTGTACATAAATAGGGTCATCAAGGGCTCTGCCTGTAACCCTTCAATGATATATATATATATATATATATTTATGATAATGGGCGCTCACCGATCAGGTTACGGAACATGCTCGTTCCGTTGTGCCTTGGGGCTCATACTAGAACCATCGCAGGCAGTCGCACAGCGACTAGTAGTAGACATAGATGAGATGGCACCGACAAAGACAAGGGAGACCGGAATGGCCATTTCTAGCTGATTAGCCGTCATCAGCCAGTCATACCCAACCCCAAGTGTGGATCATTTGATATTCGAACCCGGGATCTTTGGTCATGGAGTTTGACGCTCTGCCATTGAGCCACGGTTAAATAGTTAACTGTTTTTGTACATTGCCCAAAAGTCTGACGACGAGCTGGGGAACCAGACTCGAAAATTTACTCATTAAAGTTTATTCCCTTCCCAAAGAATCTTACTTATTTTCAATTAAATTTCTTGGGATGCCCGTTTTCCAGCACATATATATGCAATATAAAGAATGATCTCCGAAAATATGATGCTTCTACTTTCAGTATTTTCAGACTGTTTTTGTTTAGGCTAGATAGTTTAGACAGTTTCACCTTGCGCTTTCTCGATTTCTCCTGCTCCGTTGTTAAATATTTTGGTGAAAAACCGTTGGGCAGTTGTCTGTGAATGTTGATTCCCTCCTCAACATTAGTTAAGCTTGTTCCACACTCTGGGGGAGAATTTTTTAACGGTCTTGGTCGGCCAAGATCATCCTTTATCCTTTCTATCCCAGAGATCTTCGTAACAGTGACCTCCTTTTCTTTAAAAGGGACTTTTGATATTGCTGGAATACTCCTATGTCCTTGTGTATTCTTGGGGGTACCAGAAGTAAATTGAGGCATGCCCTTTATGACCATGCATTTACTGCGATCAGCCCTAAAGCCTAGGGTTTTTTCCTTATATGGAGGGACTAAAACATCACTGTATGAGATAAATACTGGGTCAACTAAGCCATTCGTCAATTTGTAGTATTCCACGGAACTATGGATAAGGTAACGGTCAAAAAGAGACCGTTTCTTTCTGCTGAAGTCATTTTGTAGATTTGTGAATATGGACATATTGCCGGTCCAAGTCTAATTTTAACTAATCACAAGTTGAACAATCTTCCGAGGGACCGAAATCTCAATAAAGTGAATTAGTCTGATGTCAAAAATTTATAGTCCTAAATAGATGGTGTAAAAATATTAAGTACTTTATTGAGATGTGCAAAAATACTATTAAATGAGACACTAAGATACTACTCAGTGCATTTAGAAAATTCTCAGTTGGGAGTCAAGGAAGGTGGAGTTGGGATCTACCGGTGGGATGAGAACAGATTCACTTCGCCTTACCATCAAAACTGGCAAAGACCGTATCGCAGGACTGCACGAACACCAGCTTGCAACCAACCCCAAGGACACGTTGTCTCTCGTCTATGACCAAATACGTCTGCAAACCCGCGGTGTCGACTTCGAGAAACCGGAAGCGGTCGATCGAGCCTATGTTGAGAAGGCCAGGATGGTGCTTCGGAGTCCGCACTGGATCAGCACACTTAAGCGGGCACCGGACCTGCATCCCGCATACCAGACGTCGCGCAGAAGGCCCGAATCACGGGCAAGCCTTGTCACGCGGGACCGACGGTTAACGTCCGCTGAGAAAAGTGGGGAACTCCGTCGAAGGTAATATGACCATTGTAGAAAACAACGTCCATGAAGCAGAAACTAAAACGCTCAAAGATAGGCCGCTATATAGACCACTGGCTGACGAGAAGGAGACAAACAGGCACATCGACTTGGCTGCGAAACGAACAAAAGTCACGAGAGCCCTCCAATGGTCGGTCAAGTAGTGACCGAAACCAGCTAACAGCGAACGGATAGGTTAGACTGCATGCGTCGAGAAAGGTTATAACGCGAAGCAGGCGGCGCGGTTAAATAAATCAAGGCAGGCAAAACCAACCACTGCATAAGTCAAATGATGGTGACAAGGAAGTTTCCGTAATGTCAGTAAATATTCAATAACTGTTAGGAACTCGCCTTCTCTTCCTCGTTTCAGTTCGATCAGTTTACTTGAGGAAATTTAGGCGTACGGCTTTGTCCTCCCTATTTCTGAACTCAACCGAAAAGGGGACATCCAAACACATACATAAGGAATGCCAAACCACTACAGATAGGTAAACGATTCTACATGTTGACGGAACCCGCCAAAGTGTACACAGCCAGTGACTAGTCTCATGAAAAATTGCTATAAATCTTGAAATGCGATTTTGATTTGGAAAGACTTCTCAAGTTGTAAATAGATGTTGATTATCAGGAAATATAATAACAATAATAATAATAATAGTCTTTAATGCCAATTTACGAGCATTGTCAAGGAAAAATGAAGCACGGATCAGGCTTACAGTGAAAAAACTCCTGTGGAAGTAAATGCAGGTGGTGGTGTTTTTGGACAGTTTGGGTGGCTCGGGGGAATGAAAATGTAGCCCGTGAACTTACACCAGCCCAAATAGGGGATGGTTAACATTACATCGAATGTTTTCAGTTTCTGTTCCGTTTCATGGATTTGGGACTGCACCAAATAAAGTGCATGAGGGAACAGTTGCTCGCAGTTGGCCGAAGAAATTATAAGTAGTTTTGCAGACCTCAGAGTCAGCCTCATTTCTAACAAGATGATACCGGGCAGAGGGATCAAACATCATGAAATCCGTCACTACGGAGAACTAATTCGGTGGAAGCACCCAAAAATTGTGAGAGTTTTTTGAATGCAAAAAACGAGCAACAGATCTCTTAAACAAGGAGTAATTTTCAGAATCCTCACATGCCTGGGTACCTTGTTCCAGATTGCAATTTCGTTCTGAGAAAAGGGCCTGCCTTATCCAACGGTTATTGCCGATGGAAGAAATAAAAAGACCTCACGGTGACGGCTGAGTCGGGAATGGTCAAGCTGTTTTATAGTAGTAAGCAGAGTAAAAGTGCGACTGTTCAAAATTTGCAAAAGTAAAGGCAGTCCCTCTTGTAATCTCATGATCTTTCATGCTAAAAAGGATCTTCGCGTTTGAATGCACCTCCCCGCGACCGGATGCGAAGACCGCACTCGGAAAAAATGACTTCTAAAATAATGCAAATTTTTCTTATTCATTTCTGGAACCTCCGTAAATTCAAATATATTTTATAGAACACGTGCGCAAAGATATTCTTTCTTACATTAATTTGACAAAATAGCGCACCTTAAGATTCTCTTCACGAAGAACGGATGATTTTCAGTTTTTGAAACGTTTCTTATAATAAGATTTATGGGACTGAAAAATAAGCGTTTAACTTACATCGTATCTGTCCGTTTATAATTCTTCCTCATGAAATGTGCCACTTACTCCATATTCATTGCAAAATTTGGTGAGCATCCATGCATAATTTTCCTTTCGCGGAGAGCATGTAGCTTGGGGATTGAAAACCCTAAACGTAACTGCAACGGCAGATAGGGCTAAAATTGTTCAAGATGGACAGTGGGCCCACTACATCGCAAGATTTGAGTTGCATAACGCGTCAGATTGTTTGTAGTAAGAAATGCATGCTGGGAGAGTCGACATATATGGCAACGACTACCTTAATGTCTGATTTGTGAGAAAGTAATATCCCCCGACGACCCGAAGATATGGCGTTTAATAGGAGGGTCAGATGATACGCTGAACTTGCAAAATAACTTAGATTCACTGCAACAGTAGTGTTAAGAGTAACTCCTTAACGTCAATTCCACCAAATGCCGCGTCATCCGACTACGGTCTAGTTACGGGAAACGATGAAATTTGAATTTCACCATCTAGTTTGAGGTCACCAACTCGAGTCACTAAACAAGTAAAGGGACCTAGGGGTGTGGACGACGTCCAATCTCATGCCTTCATCTCACTGAGCCAAGATAGCAAAGAAAGTTATGGACATCCTAGGAACGATAAAGAAACTCCTCCTTTATCTTGGCGAAGAGCTTTTTAGTCGAGCGTTTTGAACATTCATCCAGCCGGTGGTATAGTGTTGCTTTCAGGCTTGGCGTCGCTCGACGAAGCAAGACTACATCCTTTTGGAGAACGCACAACCAAGGGTGAGCAAACTAGTCAGCGGACTGAGATGCCCACTGTTGGGTGTCTACACTCCCAAAAACACGGACCAGCCAATCACTGTAGGCCATGTACGTTTCCTCTACAGTGCTGTCATCTTAATCGTGGCCCCTCTCCATGGGCTGCTCTTCTTGAGTCTGATCGGGCCGCGTATTCGAATTATCGACCAGCTCGTCTGAAATGTTCCTCCCGAAGGGAATTGGGCCGAAGGCCGACGAACCGCAGTGAGGTGTTATAAATATGCATTACTTTCAGTTATTATTGACTTCCAGTTTCCTAATACACTTCTCGTGGTCGGTCGCTTTCCCTTCTCTGCCGTGTTGGTATTTTGAACAAGGGCGGGTACGCATACACTCGCACGTGCTTTCAAGTATCAGGCCAGGTCATAACACCTACCTCGATCGTAACAAATGTGAACTTATCCGATTACGATCGATCAACAGGAGGCCAATGAGATTTTAATCTCAATACTTTATAGGAGGTCACCAATTCGAATCAGTTAACGAGTTAAGAGACCTCGGTTTATGGATGATGTCAACTCTTAAACCATCGTCCCACTACGCCAAGGTATCAAAGAAACCTATGGGTATCCCAGACGCGATTAGAAGATCCTTTCTCAATTTTGACGAAGAACCTTTCAGCCGAGTATTTTGAGCATTCATTCTACCAGTGTTGGAATATTGTGTTCAAGAACGGTGTCCCCGGACGAAACAAGATTACACCCTACTGGAGAACATACAATGAACAGCGACCAAGCTGGTCGGCGGATTATGTAGCTTACCTTATTACGTATGCATGGAAAAGTTAAAAATATTAACGCCGTCTCATAGACCATACAGAGTGGTAATGATCATGTCCTTCAGGATCGTTTGAGGGCTAGGCTGTACTCTTCAGTTTGAGGATTTCTTCGAACTGGCGCGGACGACAAATCTTCGAGGTTGGCAATAGAAATTGAAGACGAAATATGACAAACTCGAATTACGGGCCAAATTCTTCTCTAGCCGACTGGTTGAGGGATGGAACAAATTGCCGAACTCCGTTGTCTTAGCGGAAAACTTGGAGACCTACAAAAGAAGATTAGATAAATTTATGCTTGATGGTCAAACATTTACATGATATCAATCACTGGCATAACTGCTATGTGAATTTTTCCATGTTTTTTTTCATACGTCTATCTGTAAATGGGGTTTTCCAAGCCTCTGTCTTTATCCCTCATATATGCTGAATTATACTGAATACTGAATTATGAGGAACGAAGAGGAAGGCTTAAAATCATTCCTTTATTTTTTAAGCAGAGCAAAAAGGATATTTTTATGGTCTTCAAATTCGTCACGGGCGAAGACCATGTATTCAAATTAACTGATTTTTTGAACTTGCGAAAATAAAAAATTTCTTGGACCACCAATAAAGAGTGAAGACAAAGTGCGCAAAACTTGAAGAACGGTCAAACATCTTCTCCCATCGGTTGATATGAGAATGGCAAAAACTACCTAATCCGGTTGTTCTGACGAAAGGGAGGGAAGATGAAAGTCGATCAGCATGAGGCCGACCAACACAGAATGTAACTGCTAGTTCTATTATTCGGAGTTCATTTTATACTTTAACAGTAGTGAGCCGACCAAGCTATCCAAGACATCAGCATTCGAATAAACCGGTCCTGGTGAGCTCACTAAATTTCTTAGATTGTTGACCACGATCTCTCAACTTTGGCAATCTAAGCGCATTTTGTGAACCACCAGTACACCACGGAGTGCGCCGTTGGGAGAAATTTGCCCTAACGACAGCTTCAGTACAGACTAAACGGCATTTCCCCCACTGTCTTCTAGATAACCAATTCGTTCCAAAATGTATCACTTACAAACTTGCTGTGAGTTCTGCTCCAGCAAGGGGGAGTCTATCTCGACCTGGAGAGGGATGACAAGAGGGCTATTTCCCGATTGCTACCAAAGACTGTAGCGCTGCGGTTTAGAGATCGACCAATCTCAACCGTATCTCTGGGCAGTGGCCAGTGATAAATTGAATGATTTTGAGCAGACCCTTCTCCAGCATACTCAGAAAGCAAGTGTTAAACGGAATAAGAAATTATTAGCAAAATTGGCAAAGCTGCAACTACCAAGCTCAGACAACTCCTCCGGGGACTCGTCCATAACCTTTCCTCAGAACCCCACACCAGCAGAGGACTGGCGGTCTTTGAACGTGGAGCCACCTTCAACACAGCAGATGCCTCACCAGCAGTGTTCATTGCAGCCTTCGGATCATTTTTAAAATTAGCAAAGACATCGGAAATGTCTGAGGATTTGATCCGCCATCAAAGCTCCTCGTTACTTACACAACCTAGAAGATGCTAAGCATTTACAATGAAGAACAGCGGATACTAAAAGGCCTGAAATCAAAGAAAGTCAATTATGCTGCCATCTTATAAGGGTCGTTTCATGGTAGTGCTCAACAAATTTGATTACCAGAAAGGTGTAAAGGACTTAGTCGATGACCAGCGTTCTTGCAAATTATGCGGCGCTGTTGAAATGAAAATATGGTCTCTCGTATAAGTAAAAGTCTAAAAATACCCATGAATGAAGGGAAATTACGCTCAGCGGCTGCTTCCCCATGAAACCTATTGACTCAACAACGGCTTGTTCTTGTGATTTTCCGAAGGTACATAAGGCAATTCTACCATTCGGACCAATTGTATTCTTTCTTGGCACTACGACCTACCGTTAGGCAAAATAGAAATTCGATCGTCTTGACTTTTTGGCGGTAGGCTCATCAATAACAGTAACATTTGTGGGTCAATTGCTTAAGCGTATAAATCCCTTGAAATTACAGCCCGGCGAGACTGTGTTATCCTTCAATGCTTTTTCACTTTTCACCTCTATTCCACAACATGTAACAGTAGAAGTTGTCAGTAGACTACTGGCTGAACACTAGGAGGAGAGACAGGCCCCTGAAGTCCGAGCCTCTGTTTGAACTTCTACGATGCTGCCCTAAGGCCTATTTCAATTTTGGTAGACAAATGCACAAACAAACTAGAGGCGACCTTATGGGCTCCCTCTTAAGCTGATAAAACTGTCCTTTGGCGGATAGAAGACTTGGTGTTCAGCAAATACCAGCCAAAATTCTGGACTCGTTATTACGACGACACCTTCGTCGCTGTGTAAATAACTTATTCAGAAATCGTGATGAATCCCGGTGACGTGTACACGCATGTTGCCGAATGGGCCCATGAGATAAGCGAATGTGTGTGAAGAGTGAGGACAGTACAGTTTTACGTGACGTGTGTATGTGAATACTACAGGCGCTGGTGTGCCTTCGTCTGTGCGATGGATTCTGAAGCGATCAACAGGACTAATTTATGATGTGAAAGTTCGCACGCAACGAGGACAGATTGACACCGAGCCAACATCTATAGTTGTGGAGCAGCGATAGTGTGGGTGTTGGCTGGCGAGTCTTCGAGATTGTTATCATCGATGCCGGGAGGGCGGAAGTGGACAAAGACTACTGGCGAAGGCGGCGAAGACAAGAATGGCCATTCCTGGTTTGTAAGCTCTCATCAGACAGTCATATCCCGCCTCAAGTTTGCTATTCTCGAAGTTCAGACTCGCGTTCTGTCGGTCAGAAGTCTGGCAATCTGACAACTGAGCCATGGACTCGTTGTTCTGTCGGTTGCGATCGAGTTTATTAACTGTCATAGACGGCGTCTCCCGGTCCCTCTAGACAGTTTTTTGTCTAACAGGTCCCTTTTATTAAAATGCAGTAACCGTATGCAGTTTAGAAATAGGTCGTAAAATTTGATGACGTCGGCAGACGTTACTTGTGCGTGTGCATTATAAGGTCGATCGGTACTAGATATTTATCAAAAACTTCAAAAACAAATCAGTCGGAAAGTGGGTCCGCACTATTTCTACGTTGAGTGCGACGTCGTGCACGACGTTGTGCTGGTCCAGCTTTCTCTTATCAGCGCAAATATATGTGAGCATAACGACACATGTTGACAGAGAAGTCCGTGCATCAGCCACCATTTCGGCAATGAAGAACTGACGTATATCCAGTCCGACCCCGATCTCACGTAGTATGAATGGATGTTTTCACAGGTTCGTTGTGCCTGTCAACTCGAACAATTCTCCAAGCGCAAGAAAAGGGTCCTTTCTGCGCACAACTAGGAATTTGCATGTTAGGTCATTACGGTGCTGTCTTTAACTCTAAGAAATTAAACCGAGACCAGTTGATTTTATTTTATAAGGCAGTGAGCCCTGTGCTCGCACCAGTTTGTTAAATGTCTGCAGTTTTTTCAAGAATTTTGAAGTTTCTTGATACCCAGGGTCCTAATAATTGGATGGCGAACCCCAGCTATGACCAAACAAAACCTTTAAAAGACATTGGCGAAGCAGCCATAACTGAAGGCCGAAAAAGCCCTTTTGACAGGGCATCAGGCTGGTACTGCAAGCTTAGTTACCTTTGGGTAATGTGGCGATGATTTAATCTTTGTCCACACATCCAGATTCATCTTGGCATCGACGTCTTACGATGGCATATCGTTCAGACGACGGACCCTAGGGTTTGAAAAGCTGGTTCCCTCGAGTCGTTGAATGTTTTGCTTTTTCACATTAAACGACAAGTGTCACTGACTCGTCCAGTGGTCAAGCGGGTCTACATTTGAGCGCAAATGCTCTTCGTCGGCGTGATGTCATTAGCAAACTTAGTGGCATCACAATCCATTTCATCAAATCTCGTTAAAATATATAATTAATGGTGCAGGACCAAAAACGAAGCCTTGTGAAACACAGCGCCTCCACCAAGCGTTTATCACTGATAGGGACATCTTGAAAGCAGCCGATTAAGAGCGTTCTGATTCACTTCAAAGGATTATTCTTAACGCCCATCAGGCAAAGTTTCTGCGGAAGACACTGTTGCACTAAAATATCGAATGCCTTCTCAAAGTATTCATCGACAAATTATACCGCACTTCCTTCGCCAGAATCCTGATTGCAGAGATCTATAAAGGAGAGAGTTTGTTGCTCAATACGTCCACCTACCGAATCGGCACTGGGTATTGGGTAGGTGAATATCCTGCTCCTAGAACAGTACTTGCGTTCACTTTATTATTTTTCACACAATTTTGTAGTTGATCGAAGTGCATCTGATTGGTTTGTTACTGGTAGCGGAGGTCTTGCCGCCGCCTTGATATAGCTGTGTGGTCCGGGAACATTTACAGTCAGCGACAAAAGTCCGTATTCGCAAGAGGCTTGGAAGTACATGAAGTATGGTCCGGCTAGTTTTCTCGCAAACTGTTCAGCAGTTTCGTCCATGTGTCATCAGTGCCCGTCAATGTATACTTTAAATATTGGTTAGATGAAAGATGCAGGCCCAGTCCTTAGGCATTTCGGCGAGTCGCAAAGAGGGACTTACGAATTATGGAAAATGTTCTGATTATTCACCACCGGTCTGAACTATTTAGGCTGAAAAGAAGCGAACAGAAACGTTTAACAAAAAGATGAAATCCGAAATAGAATCGGGTGCTAGAAGTTCATTGTCGGTTCATAAAGGCCAACGGAGCTTCAAATAATTCTCGATCGATCGGATGATTCCGCTCAGTTCCAGCAGAGGCTTAGTTTCATAGCATAAAATTATAGTCATAAGGGGGGTCCCAGAATTAACATCCATAACCCCCCCTCCCCCGGTCGTAGTAGATAATAAAGTAAGACTAATTGAAGAATACTCTGAAACCTAATAAAAGAACAGTTAGTCCCATATCTTGGCCCGAGCAGATGTCACGTGCAAGCTCAGCTAATGTCTGGTCCTTAGTAGCTGTCAGTTTTGACAAAGGTCGCTCTGCCAACGAGACTCAAGCAAACATACAGCCAAAACGAGTGTCATCCCCGCGAAGCATGAATTTGTATGCTTTTTCAGCCGAACTTCTGGCCAAAAATCAATTGACATTAGGAATTTGATAAAAAATTGAAGAAACAAAGGATCATAAGTGAAAATCTTCCCAAAACGACAGACGGAAAACTTGCACAAGTTACTCCGAAATCAATTGATCGAGGGCATTTACACAAGCAGTTTACCGACTTTTCGGATTCCTGCTCGAACCCATCATCAGAGAAAAACGCAGATACAGACTGTCAAAAGAATAGGGGACGTTCACCGGGAGGGGTTTATTTGAGATCCGACGTTTCAGGTAGTTTATTCGTCTACACATCTTCATGGGAAAGATGAAGATGGGTAGACGAATAAACTACCTGAAACGTCGGATCTCAAATAAACCCCTCCCGGTGAGCGTCCCCTCTTCTTTTGATATGCCACCTGGGAATCGCATTTTCACTATTATAGATACAGACTGTACATATGTAGGATATCGGACCTAAACCAAGCTGCACGGATGCCCCAGTGTCAATCTACTATCATATATGTAAAAATACCTTTCGCAATTCCCATTTGTCTTGGTAAATAGTCTCTGGAAAAAAAAACCACATAAAACTGATTGGCGGAAACTTGACTGGCAATGGAAATATAAAACACGGAAGTCACCACCCCGGCTATCTAATGTCTAGCCCTGAGGGATGGGCCTAGCTAGGACGGAGAGGGACATAGCCCATTTCGAGGGACCTTAATCATCTATGTTCAACACGAGTAATTCAATATACTGAATGCTTTTTCTAACAGTGTAAGTACGTTCCTAGCATAGGTCAAATTGTATAAGTAATCACCTTACTGACCTGCATTTGGTTATTTATTTCCGGCGGGCTGGGAGAAGCAGAATTATCCGTCGGATTCGGAGCCATTTGTCTACCATCTGCACAGTGGCCTGTTGTTTGAACTGGTGGCGTATCGGCGCCAGCTACAGTTACGCAAGCCCCACGTTGTGATGGCCGGACCTTCTGCTACTCCCGGAAGAAAGTCTGAGTCTGCTCGTCAGACCGCCAGCACTGCTACAACGAAAAAAACTGTATGCCTTTTTTAAAACTTTTATCCCCTTCAGAAAGCTATCGACTCGATTAACAGCCGTTTGGCGCTCGTCTTCAAGAGTGGCAAAGCAGCCATAGGTTATCGTCACACCCTGCGAACGCTTCGTCGCGGGGGCTCGAAACTTATAATAATTGCCAATAACACACCACCGCTTCGGTATGTAAAATCAAGATTTCGGAGCGTTTTGCTGAGATGAAATCTTAACTGTCTTTCTAAGATCTCCGGACTATTTCTTCCCGCTACAGCTGTCTACCTTGAAATTTCAGAAAAGCTGAAATCGAATACTATGCAATGCTGTCCAAAACTGGCGTTCACCACTACAATGGTACTAACCGAGACTTGGGGACCGCTTGTGGGAAATACTTTCGTGTCAGCACCCTCGCCATCGAAGATCCTGGTGACTCGGACATCATTAGGTCTATGCCAACTGACGCGTGAGTGTTCAAACTGCACTTTCTAAATAAAACATGGCAACTACTTCCGTACTTCTAACAGACAGTGAACTTGCCGCAGGCCGTCGTCCATTAAGCGACTGCGACCGGGTAAAGACCACAATGCCTTCTTTCCTTCAGTCACTTTTCGGTCGTATAAGCTGGCTACTGCACTACTTTGTTCCCTTAATGGGTCCTTTTCGGCGATTTGCGTGTTTTTGGTCATTAATACCCAAAAGCGAATCGTGCTGTTTTAGTAAATGGGTTCTCAGAAAACCCCAACCATCGTCACGGCCGTTTGCGCGTGAAAGGACGCTAGAGCAGACCACTGGCAATTGCTGACTGCGTATAGTAAAGAGCACTTGAGGACCAGCGTGTAATACTCGAAGGATGCCGAAAGTTAAGATCTGGAGCCCGACCACATTATAGCAAGCAACAGTTGACTAACAACTGCGACACAAGCCACCACATCTCCATTAAAGCTTAGAGCCGAACACTTCTGCCGAAGCCGTAGAGCTCCCGATTCCTCTCCGACGACCTCTAATACGTATTGCTTCGGCAGCGGACGCAGGGATACCCCGGTCCGTGATATAGACGTCTAACATACTAACCGGTCGCCTCAAGGGGAAGAGGTGTTCATAAATTGATGGGATGTCGGGCTCGGTAACGACTACGCAGATCTTCCCTTCGGTCTCTGCCGAGATCCACACTGCTTTTCCCAGGTCATGACTTGCAAAGTGTTGATGCGCTGGGTGCTCGAGTATCGACCTTTGCGGCTGTAACCGGATTTCCAGGTCAATGTAGCATCGAAGTAATCTTGAGTGACTTGACCAGGGGTTTTGTGGCCCTGGGGTCGATGCCACAGATATGGTCCACTCCATGAGTGTGGAGCACCATGTGGAACAGGGTCTTGGTTGCTGCACGGCGGAGAGCCGTCGTGCTAGGGGCGAAGGAATTGTTGATTTCGCTATGCTTAACCGCCTGGTTATTGCTGCTGCTCGTCTCTGACTCCTCAGGCGACTTTATCTACAGGATACTCAAAGTATAGACAGTTATCCAAACGCGCTGGTTCGACATAATGCCTGAGTGAACGGTAGCGGTCAGTCGCTTGCGCTGACTCGACCTGGGTTCATACTGTTGCTGATAAAATGGCTTACGGAGAAATGCGGAGTTAGCCGCTTGGGTGAAGCCCGCCGTGGACCTCTGTCTGATTGTCCACGATCATCTCGTCGCAGCTATGCCGGTGGCGCGGGCTCCCAAGTCCCCGTTAATAGAAGACAGCCGGCTCTAGCCCAGAGTTTGCCCTCCAAGGTGCTTTCCAGAAAGCTCCGGGTGACAGCATGCAACTCGGCAATAATGGCCATAAAGCTGTCTGACTAACTGTCAATGCAAAGTTTGCTGGCTTTCTTATCCATCCATACTTTAGGGTACTTGTCGTGAGTGACGTAGTCACAAACCGCTCGGGAGATATGAATCATGTCTTGGTAATTGCTGCACCTGAAGGCTGTGTCGGGTCTTCTGATACAGCTACAGTCAGACGTCCGGATTCCGATGTTAGTGTTTCTCGAAGGGACGAGTCTGGTGGGAGGGAACTTTTGTGTAGCTTATGAAGTCGGCAGGTCCGAAACCCCAAACTTGCCTTCAATCTGCGATGCCCAATAGGACGGCTCTGCAGCACTAATCAGAGGCCTTCTTGGTGTGACAAAGTAACTAAAAAACGGCAGGATACCTGACGAGGCCTGCCTTGCTTGGAGCTGCTCACGTAACTCGAGGAACAGAGTGCCTTCGAATTTCGGCGACGATGCCACGCTAACTCCCGAGAAGGGTGAATGATCATCGGAAGAATTGCCACGGCGGAATCCTCCGTAACATTTTCTCCGAAGGTGTTCTTTATCAGATCCGCACGTACCGTCGGCCATAAGTACCAGACAACTTTCAATTGAGACGAAGGTAAACTCATCAGCACATATTTCCGTTAATAGTCGATTGCGGCCACTGTTGCCTCTTGGACAGCGTGGTCAGTCTTAAAAATTGTTTCTCTGCTCGTCTATCCATCGGGCCTCTGTGATCGGCAGCTGCATATCGGCGTGTGACCGCATCTCTCTATGGATTTAGGGCTGCTGCCGGCAGTGTCTACCGCTGGAACTTCTCAGCAAAGCCGTTTGCTTACGGTATAGACAGAGCCCTTAGAGTGCTTTTGCTGACCATCCCGGTGACCAAATATGCCGTAGTCCGTGTATCGTACGTTTTGGTTGAGTTGCAAACGTTACCATGCCATGCATGTTCTGCCCTGAGTGTGTACACGGAGACGCTGCCAGTGTCAATAGAGAACTTCACACCAAACTTTTCCTTGGTCTCCGCGGTTGGAGATACATGCCGGGTCTTGATTGGCGGTCTAACTCCTCTACCAATAGACAGCTTCTGTTGTATTGGCTAAAAATTTATGCACCGGTGAAGGTGAGAATTGGAATTCGGTCGTCATGAGTGGCGACGTCTACCACGTGCTACACGCAGTGCGTGCAGCACCATTGACTTGTGCGCGAATAGATACATAGTGAGGCCTATTTGCGTGGCACCTGCCGCACTCTCCTCACCCACCGGACTCTGATGGCATGAGAACGTCAAAACGACCGGAGGTGTGCTCAGATGCAGTGACTGCCAAGCTGGACAACCGACCCGCGCACGCCATACTAGACCTCGGTCCAGTATAATGTTCCATATCTTTGCAGAAAAGAGCCTAGGATCACACACTCTTGGAAGTGTCATGCAGGAAACATTGAGAAAGAGCCATCGAGCCTGACTCCCATTCCTCAGCCCCTCCACATACATAGAGTACTGACCACGAGCACCGAGTTATTCTATCAGCTGGCAACCAGGCCACGACCCGTGTGACTGAAAGCACGTCAGATTTGTTGTCACGACGAATGCGCGCTGTCGTTGGAATGGGTTCCGCAGAATCGACTGTGTCGATGCGATAAATCCGCAAATGCCTAACTAGGCCCATACATGGTGACAGTAAGGACATGATGGAACTGCTGTTGGCGAGCTGGCGGTATGGCGAAGATATTGGTGATGGCGACATTGTCTTGCAGATAAGTTTTATGGTGTACGGAGTAGGCTTGTCTTGATGACATTGCCGTGTAAGACCTACTAGGCCCATGCGGTACCTCAATGTTCTGGAACACTGTAGGCGGATGAGGTGTGTGTGTGTGATTGGCGTGCGTTGGGGCTAAAGGTACTGGTTGCCCAGTTTTTTCCGATGGATTTGCAAGTGACCTACGGGACCTATGCGTGATAAGGAATTGGAGTTGCAACGGCCGGAGAATGGAGTTGTGTCCACGTTGTTGGTGGTAAGGAAATGCGACACAATAATGCTTTCTAGGTCGGCAGGGGCGTCCTTACTGGCGTCGACAGTGGTGCTGTGTTGACTTACGAGGCAGGTTGGTCGTATTGCCGCTGTACTGTGTCTGCATATGTCCAACGTGCTCTATCCGTATCTGAAACGTCAGTTAACAGTAGACACGATTGCATGGGTTGGATGCTAGTATCTCTAGTCCGTAGCCGTTGAGTCTTGTACGTCTCTCTTTTTGCTTTGGCAGCGGCTACTCGGTTGGCTTCGAAGGTCGCACCCTCAGTCTTAACGGCAGTCCATCACGCCTGTCGATGTTGAGCGATGTCCTACAAGCTCTCCGGTTTGGTTTTCAGGTGTTTAAGGAAGGTGTCAGGGTGTGCTTGTAGCGACGCCATTCGCAGTTTTGCCACGGTCAAATAGCCGTCCGGACAGGCACTTGTTTGTCCTAACGACGTGCTCGCTGCATGGCGTGAATGCTGCGACTGCTTTTTCTTCCCAGGATCACAGCGTCCGGTATCACTTCTTGCCACTTGGCATTCAATATTCACTGTAGAGATCTGGGGTGGGGATTATTGAGTTTTCTCACTTGGGTTCCATAGTCTCCACCCCGTACAAAATCATTGTTAGTATAACAGCCATGTACATCTCAAGTCGTGTGTTGATTAGGATGCCGAGGCAGTCCCAGACGGAGTGTCTCAACCGGTCGAAGGCTTGGCTGGCTTCGGAGACCCTACTTACAGTCTCGTCATTACTCCTACTATTTACTGAAATCGTACCCTCGAAGTACTTGAATTTGTCCACTGCTGTGCGATGAGTTCCATTGACCTTGATACAGGGTTCAGTGTAGTCAACACTCGGCGTTGGTTAGGGCAGGGTAACTGTATTCTGCATGCTGGCGGTCTATTCGAATTCGGAACAGTTGGGGGCAAAGTCAACATCCCGTCGCATGTTCTCTTCCGTTCTGGGTTTTGATACGCAGTCAGCCACAAACAGTAGGTCGTAAGTGCTGGCTTTGGGTATTCTCGAAGATGTCTCCGGCAAGCGGATGTTGAGCGACTTTCCGTCCCTTCGGTGCTAGATCTGGATCCTCAGCCGCTTCTCGCCGTAGACGTCCATCACCATTACGGAGAACAGGAGACTATAGGGCGAGAGCGAGTACGCAGCTCTGCTTCACCCCATTGGTCACCACGAATTCTTCTGAGACTGGACTGTTATTCGTGACGCGAGCTATAATCTCTTCGGGAAACCACCATTCAAGCAAATCGCTCTGCACGTCCGGATTTCAACATGATTCTGCAGAGTGCATCACGATTCACGGCACGATGTGGAGGTTGGTCCTCATTTCCTGGCACTTCATGCAGTTGACAGACTGCGAAGCCCATGTCTGTGGTTTCGCGGCGATTTCGCAATCGGCGCTGCATTTCTGGAACAAGTTCTCGCTTCAGAGGCGTGTGCAAGCGATTAAGTTGGAACTGGGGGACGGTTTATCCTGCGATATTGAAAAGAGTGATGTCCTGCGGCTGGCAGGAAAACCATCTCATGGCATCGTTTCTGATGGCCGAGGCAGCGTCGCATCCGCGTCGCGCTGCCCTTGGACGTCCGTTCATAAAAAGGTGTGCCCACAGCACTTCGTGCTCCCAGATACCACTTAGTCACGTGCCAGTCTTTGCATCTGCATGAGTGGAAGTCAGTAGGGCAATGACGAGACAATCAGGAAGTTTGAATGAACCCAGGTGTGAGCGGTTGCGAGGGACAGGCCTCATGGGTTTTCGTGGCCCCAGAATAGTGAGGACCTGTGACATCGTTCGCTTAAATACTAATGTAAATTTTGCTACCTGTCTTCCGGCGTTTAATGATTTCTGATCCCGCAACGCATTATATGTCCCGCGTTGCTTCGTTCCTACGGCGTCACAAACACTACTCGCTACTCCAACGGAATAAGTGGCCGAGACTGCGCAACGTTTTACGGGAGCACATAGCTGTTTCGTCGATGCGCGCGCACGGCCAGGACTTGCGGCTAACAACAGTCGCCTGCTGGCTCTAGGGGTAGCTCGGTGTTCTGATAGGTTACTTAGCAGAACGGCGCGTCATTCGCTCAAAGAATGCTGCACTTCAAACAGGTGGATGACGTCTGGGCAAAATTTTTACTATCGCTTACCACTCCATTTCTCTTTGGCCAATTTCAATGCTCCCACGTGCATAATTAATTTTCACTAGGTCCTTATTTTTGGCCGCCTGACGATTACTTTAAGGAGAGGTTCTGTGCAGAATACACATTGGACTGTTTTCAGGAATCGTTTCTGAATGGATATTTAGACAAGGACTCAGGAAGCTCGAGGTGTGGAATTTTCTTCTGACTCGCCACAGAATTCTGAAGAGGATCAATTCTGTTTTGCGCTAAGGTCTCACATGAAGGAAATGTGGGTGTTTGCTAGTCTACGTCTTCGGAGACCACTCCTGCTTCGATTTTAGGACGGTCCTAGTATTCTCGACGCAATATTCTTGGCTTAGCCCATCAATCACGATGACAAGATGCAACGCTGGACTGCTCGAAAATTTTTGAATTAAAAGACAGGGATGGCGGAGTTATGGGACAATCTTTACTGAGGCGAGACAGTGTACACATGGCCCAGCAGGTAGTAACAGATTGCCAGCCATTTTAGGCTGTCAGCCCCGACGCGGAGTGCATGCTTACGTCTGGGCTTTGTGCAACTGCAACCCATCGATGAGGGCAAAAATATCGATCGACGTCGGCGAGCCGAGAGTTGAGTCGCACGCGCACTAGCAGTGTTTGACGGGTGTGCTAAGCGGACCAAATGTGACACGGATAAGCGGTCACGCTGACGACCGCCAGGGCGGACTGCCACAGTACCCTCTACCTAGACCAAAGGTGGTGTGGATGAGCGACCGTGTCGAGGACCACGAGAGCGGACTTCTACACCACCCTAGCGACTCAGGGAATCTTAGAGTTTCTGTGACTCCGCGGAAAATCCCAGTCGTCATCCCTAGGCCTATCTGCCCGCAAACATTTGAAGACCCAATGGGTGCTTTTCGGAAGCGCGAATATAGACTAGGGAAAAGATAGTCAGCAATATTTAATCGGCCTGTTCATGATGGAAAAGGAGTTGTTCAGAAATCTGACTATGAGGTGGCCTTTACATGTTCGAGGAAGGACAAATATTCTAGGAGAAACCCAAGCTTGGGATCCGGACAAATCTCCCGTAGTCCGGATAGAATGGCCATTTCTCCTGCCTTGCCGCCCTCCTCGATCCGACGCTTGCGAAGATAGGCCCGAGCCTGATCCACCTTTTTCACACCCAGGTTGTCTATGCACTTCCTACAGATCGACAAAAAGGAAAGTGAAGTGGCGACTTCTGCAAGCATGCCATGATTTGTGTACGAATATGCGCACCAGTTATGTTTAACCATATCTTCCCAAACTGAATAGCCAGTAAATTAACGATTTTGGGAGCACTGAAAGGGGATTGGGACAAAAGTGTTTGGGGACTTTTCTCCACCAGCCCTATTTCCCCTAACTGTACCCTGTTTCTGCAACCGTAGTGAAAAAGTCGTGTGATACAGTCATTGATAGGTCAGGCATGTTAATTTCAGAATATCACCTACACCAAAAGCAGACCGCTCGGGGGAGCGGTTCCTGCTGAAGGGCAGTCTGCTGTGAACAGTCTTTTCTCTGTTTTATACGTTCGCCTATCTCCAATAACACATCAGGGATGAGGAACAGTTTGCTGCATTTAGTTTCCACTATGACTAGAACGCCTTCATCAGTTGGACTCCTGTCGCTACGGAAACACCTGCATTGGCTCTAGATCGGAACGCGTGGGGTCCAACAGAACACTTATTCTGTTCCGCCGGGAACACAGGGCGTCCTTGGAGAGTGGAGACTGTCTGTTAAGCTAAATGATTGTCATCCGATGTGTCTATGGAAGGTTGACTGCGAAGTTAGAGAACTTAACTCTTGTGCATAAACTGTCGCGGAACAGAAACGGAAGTGGGGAGAGGACGGGCACAATTGAGATTAGGAAAACTGAATACCTCGAAAAATACCTCAGCGTTCTATGGTGACACTGCCAAATGGTATGCGTGGACGGCCATTGAATAAGTTATCGTTGCCGTCGTCGTGCAGTGTAGACCACTGTTCTAGGGTCGTGTTGAAGATAGGGGAATCCAGATTTACGGAAACCCTTAAATCTCCACCATACGCAACTTTTTCCCTCGGAATCTTGACGCATACTAAAACGCCCGCAGACCTCTGCCAGTAAACGGATGGTTAGTGTGCGAATGGCACTCTTCTCATCTCCTTGAGTCGGGAGGACGTTCCTTAACAATGTAAACGTTGACGTTGCTGTTGGTCTACGGGGTGCCATAACTAAGTCACAGGAGCATTAAGGGGCAAGGTATCGATAAATTTCGCCACATATACCATGGCGGTATCTCAGACAACGAGATGACGTCGCAGTCGCTCTGAAAAGTGCTGGAAACTAACTTATGCTCTGGTAGCCGTTGTAAGCGAGGATGGTAAGTATTCGTTTTCGCCGTGCTATTTTCGATGTCAAAGTTGGCCATGTCTGGCTTATTCGCTGTCCGCCAGTCCTGTCCAACCCTACAGCTGGGAGCACCTAAGCCTCGAATCCGCGTTATTTTGGTTATTAGGCGTTTGTAAATCCAGCGATCTAACCATTGAGCAAAGGGCCCATTGTCCTGTCGGTTGAGGTCGGGTATATTAAGTATGGTTGATGGCAGCCACCTATCGCGTTACCGGACATTCCTCCCGTGGTGCCTTAGGTCTCAATATTGAGTGCCGTCAACAGCCGCAAAGTGATTAGTAAGATAGCTAGATAGTGATAATTAGAGCGTCGAACTTATAACAAGTAGAAAACAAGTCCGAGCCTCAGGATCTGCAAACCCGGGATTGGGTATGACTGGCTGATCACGGGTAATACGTCAGAAATGGCTACTCCAGTCTTCATGGTCCTTTTCGGTCTAGTCGTTCAGCCTACACTACCAGTTGCTGAGCGGCTGCTTGCGGGGCTCTAGATCGAGCCCAGATTGACAACGGAACAAGGATTTTCCGAAACGCGATCGCTGAGCGCTCTCTATCATAGTTCATATATAGGCAGAATAGCGTTACCGACGAAATTTATAGACATACTTATGTGGAAGGAGAAGGCAAAGAGATCTCTGGCAAGGATGGTGTATTCATCTGTCGTTTCACCTTCATACTTGAGCACATCATGGGAGATAGAAAAAACGTGGAAATACATTACTTAAGTAGGCCTTTCTTATCCACTACTAATAGGTCCCTCGTCCTCTCTTCTCATTGGCCTTCCTTTCCAGACACTCTTCCTACGCATCAACAAACTACAGCGCAGGGGCTGAAAAGCTGCGAGAGCGTAAATCCCTATGGCGTCTCTTTCTCTGCAATGGGTACCCACGTACTTTCCTAAACAAATGCCTGTATCAAAGGCACACGAAGACCGACGGTGAACAAAAACCTGAAATCTTCCGTGATTTACCCTACCTGAGTGACGTTTCCGAAGCCACTGAACGCATGCTCAGACAATTCAACGTGGGTCTTGGATACAGGCCAGAGGTCACAATCCGCTGCTTGATCATGTAGCCCAAGGGGCAGCTATCACCTTAGGACACGTCAGGAATTGTTTACCGCGTCAATTGTCTAGACTGTCCGGTCAACTACCGTGGCATGACTGACAAACGATTAAGGTCGCACATGCATGAGCATTCTCTAGCTGTAAAGCGAAAAGATGCGCGATCGCATGTTACTATGCATGGCCTCGAAAATAGTCATTAATTAGGTTTTGGCAAGGCAGAAGTAATCAGCTGAGCTGAAAGCAAAGTGGCGAGAGAGATAATCGAAGCCTGGCAATCCAACAACAACTACATCAACCGTAGGATCGACCTACCGGCGTCATACGAGGCCTTCAGACACCACTTAGGCAGGAAAGGAGGGCCAGTGAGAAGAGAGAACGATGGACCTATCAGTAGTGAGTAAGAAAGACCTGCATAAGCCATCCATTTTCATTTTTGTCCATCTCTGATGATACGCTCAAGTGTGAGTGTGAAACGTCAGCTGAGTAAACCATCCTCCCCAGAGATCTCTTTACCTTCTCCTTCCATCTCAACACCTGGGGTCAGCATTTTCGCCTGTATCCATATATATACGTATATGTCCATTCTGGAATGGGCAAACACCGATTCATTGGCTTCCCGAAACGGACAAGCTCCGTATGGGCGATGAGGGCCACGAACAGGGAACCACCTACCGAGCCGAAGTCGTCCATGCTAATAAGAGCAGAGGGGAGACGACAGAGGTTTGGGGTAGATTGATCCTGAACTGTTTCTGGCTTGTTTGCCTTCATTCAACCAATCATAACCCTGATCAAAAACTGAGACCGGAAACACAAACATGCGTTTGCACACGTGGCGCAGCTGGTCCACCACTGCGGTCTACCAGATGGGTCATTAACACAACGGAGGTAGTATGCATTCCGAGACGATATACTGAAAGGAGAAGGCTCATCGGAAAACGGAGTTGTACTCGTGAATTTTCAAGCTGGTTTCACCAACTCATCGTCAGGCGAAATGAATAGTGAGACGTGAGATAATCGCACTAGAGCGCTTGGGAACATCGAGGTTACATCGACAGAACAGACGTCCATGTGAGGGGGTTAATAGCGTGTTAAGTTAGGTGCCGGAAGTTAGGGGGTGTTGAGGGTACTGGTTATGCTTCACTGTGTCGGGGAGGTGTAAAATCCTCAATATTCACCGTCTTGTCTCACCGTCTTTTGAGCAGCTTGCTGGAAGTTTCGAGTGTAAGGTTTTGCGGGATCGATTTGAAGAGAAGGGTGATGTCGAATGATAGCACTGCGCCATCTTCGCCGAGTCGCATTCCTTTGGGCCGTTACAGGCGTTCGTGGCCTAGTCCAAGGTGAAGGAGACGGCTGAGACCATGGTGGACACGCACGCTGCCGCATCGCAACCCCGGTCCTACGAAGACGCGGTCACATCATCCACCAATCCGACAGACGAGAAAACAGACAGTCGTAGGAGTGTAAACAAGACTGCCAGACAGCTAGTGTCAGTGCAGATACTGACGACGGCTGCCAGCGTTCGGACGCCGACCCTGACGAGAGGCACATAGACTAAGGACACCCCGTCACACTACTTCCCATCCCCCGCCATCCACACTCCCTGTGCGCATGCGGACGATGGCCACCAAGGTCAAAACACCGTCCTCCTATCCGGCGGCATGATGATTGAGAAAATCCTACCCGCCTCTTTCTCCCTGCCGCTCTCATTGCGAAGGTAGAGCAACCCCAAAATGTGTAAAAGTACTTTGGGGCACTGTACCACACTCCCCTTCAACGACGGAATTTGTCTGCTTTTGAAACACCAGGATAATGCATGGCTGTTGCTTACAGTAGGGGTGTTAACTCATGAAATGCGTTTTCGTTTCAAAAAGACTACTTAAGTAGGGTTGTAAAGTTAATCATAATGCAGAATAATTCTATAATAATTCAGTCACCTCGAGATGCCGGTTTTCGAACGAACTTCTTTCCGGCCGCATACATAAACCAAACTCTGCAAAAATAATTGCTTAAGTAGCATGAATTTTTCTTAGTGATTTTCGATGCCGTTGAAAATTCAATTTTATTCCCTAGGAAACATGCACAAAAATATTCTTCCATTCATTTGGCAGAAAATTAAGTCTCCTTCAATTTTTTTACTTGAAGGAGGGGTATAATTCGGTGTTAAAAAGTTTCTAATTGTGAGATTTTTTAATACCGTGAAGTGCCCGTTCATAAAACATCGTGTCTGCACTTGCTAATGTGGCCTGTACAGTTTACAACATGGCTGAAATCCACTGCTAAATTTCATGAACCCTACATGGTCTCCTCTTAATTTTAAGGAGAAATATATGGCTTTCTGCACACGGAAAATATACGAATTGTTCTTTGGAAACCTTGAATACAAGTGTAACGGCAGGTTGGGTTCAAAATTATTTAGGAATTTGAAAAGGCCTTTGAAAACCGAATTTTACCCTTCTCTCGAGCATAAAATTCGAAGAAGACGTAATTTTCTACCAAATAAGTAGAAGAATGAATATTTTTATGCATGTTTTCCATGAAATACAATCGAATTTCCGAGGACATGGAAAATCAGTAATAAAAAGGCATGCTACTTAAGTAGTCATTTTTGCAGAGTTTGGTTTTTGTATGCGGCCAGAGAGCAGTTCGTTTAAAAGCCGGCATCTCGAGGTAAGTGAATTACTATAGAATTATTCTGCATAATGATTAACTTCACAACCCTACTTAAGTAATCTTTTCGAAACGAAAACGCATTTCAGAATTTCGGTTAACATTTCGTGAGTTAACACACCTACTGTACTTTCTTTGGGCAGATCTCTGAATTTGCAGTCATCTACCTCTGAAACGATACATTCGACATGTATTTTCCCCACACGTGCGTTCAGCCAACGTTTGGCCATCCATCCCGAAAATGATGCATTTCAAAGAAGGCTATTATTATTATTTATTCGGCTGGCTGCAGCGCACGCCACAAACCCAAAGAAAAAGAAAGCGTGGCAGCTTTATACGGCGATATAATGGGTCTTTACTGCCCTGGAGATGATTCAGAGTTTAATCATGCTGACGTTTGGTCATACGGGCATGATTGAGTACTTAAAGGATTCAGGGACTAGCAGGAATCACGAAATTTAGAGGAGTGCGCTTCAAAATAGAGTGACAGTGTTAGGAGTTGGTTCTGTTGGTACCGTTATTGTAGGCATTGTGAACACTATTCAACAATGACGTTGAGGTCGTTTTAGGGGTTGCTGCGTTCGGGGGAAACACTGGGGTCTGGGGGTTGACTTTGGTCCCATCTCCAAGCTTACTATCGCAAAACATGGCCAATGACTTGTGTGAATAGCCAGAGGACGTTTAATTGATGTTGGTGCCGTAACAAACTAAAAAAGCACTCAGAAACGTAAAAACATTACCTTTGTAGCTGTGCTATAGACTGCTCGCAGGTAGGAGTTGTCTCTGCTGGTTCGCTCTCTTGGTCCACGGGCTCCGCCTCGTCTGAAAAAGTCCAAGGAGATCAAAGGTTTTTGGAAACAGTAAAATATACTCAGAGGTAGATTAAAGAGTTTTCATGTGTTGCAACTGTTGACCGAGTGGAGCACGACTGAACGCGAATCCATAACCGTTTCAGTCATTATGGGTCCGCCTCCTTTGTTGCTTGTTTGGTGGTTTTGTGGACTAACAAGATGGCCGTTTTCTTGTAATCTCCAACGTCAAACATCGAAAGTAGCAGGAACTTAATGTGGTCGGTGTGCGACGTTCAAGTTAATGTCCCCAGAATAGCGTTCCTAGACCACTCTATGTGATTAACCACACCTATTTCCTGAGATTAATTGAGTACAGTTCTCTGACTTAGCACAGGTAACCGAGTAAATTTTGATCAGTGTCAATTAAGGCACCAGCGCATGAGGGGTCTGCTTAAGTCAGGGGCAACTATCCATGTCACGATCTCTCACTACAGCCCAGTTAACGCACGTCTAAACCGTTAGGATGTCCCAAGTATCATAACCTTACTATCAAGACTTCCAGACATTATGTCTGCCTATATGAGGTCTAGCACGTGTCGGCGGATTGATCATGTGTTTAGCGCACAAGGACGGAGGAGGAGAAATGCCCAATCTCCGGTCATCACATTGGAATCCCACCTTCGGAACAAGCTAAAGGCTGGATTTCTAGTGAACCTACTCCGGCCGCCTGTTGCGAGGCTGCGTCTCTCGTGAGTACTCACACATGCGCACCAGTGACAGTCTGATTCTCAGCCAATCACGGCTGTTCAAACTGCCCAATCATCTTCAAGGCCGACCCAAGAGTGCTCTAGCTGAAGGCGCCATGACACACTCCCCACTGGCATTTGGGACACGGCTCTCACGGCGCCGATGTTCTCTTGTCCGGCTGCCAACCATTTCCAATCGGTTCTCCAATTTTTCTATACAGAATACAGCATCCTCCCAACTGGCGCCTAACGCCTCTTTCCATTCGTGATCGGGTCTGAAAGTCGTAACGGTTACGTCCTGTCGATAGCTTAAGCTGATGCAACAGATCCGACCGATACTGTTCAGGTCTTATTCCACATTTAATATACTACTACGCCGCCGCCGCCGCCGCCTCCTCCTCCTCCTCCCCTCCCCTCCCCCCAATGAACGTAATTTAGGTTCTATTCGAACATCGCGGACAGACTGTTGGCTGGAGCAAATCAAACCTTCTTGCAAGCCCGGCGGCAAACACGGTGAAAATGCGATCAAAGAATAGCCACTCCAGTCTCATGGGCTCTACTTTTCCAGCATGTGCAAGGGGACTACAGGGCCTGCTTTGCTCAAAAGCTTCCGACTCACCGATTAGTGATGTATCCTGTAACCTCGTCAGGTCGAGTTTCAGGGAGACGAGTTCCTTCTCGGCTGCCGACAGCGCATGACCAGGCCTCTTCTTCTGACCTTCTACGGTACCAACAGAGTTGTATTCGCCATCACCACCATCATCATCCTCCTCCTCCTCCTCATCTTCGTCTTCCTTCTCCGTCTCGCTGTTGCCACTTTCGGTGGTCCGCTTCTGCTTGCTCCAGCTTTCTATTTCTGGCAGACGCCTTTCCATGCGTGAGATGGGCATATCATTGAACATGATACTTGCGCCCGCGGCTTCATAACAAAAGACAAACAGTGAAAGGGGAACAAATCATTGAGAGCCCTGCACATAAGTCCATTACTGGAGGGCATATTTGCCCAGCGGTGATGGCTGAGCACGTCAAAATCTCGTCCGTGAATTGATAGAATGTCGTATGCGCGTAAAAATGTGTTTGTCGCGGCGACCACCGGTCAATGGTATGAACTTTTTTTGAAAAATATGTCTAACTCCGAGCGTTCAACTGTGCGCTGATAATCCTCCATGTATTTACCGGATGCCGTTCTTTAGTATCAGTAGGCAGGAATAAAAGTAAAAGTAGGGAGTACGAATCGGAAGTAAAAATCCGAATTAAGGTATATAAAGGTCGTATTACATGGGACGCAATACTGTCAGAGCGTATATTAACTCGCATCCGTGCTGATGCCCCTTTCTTATTTGTCAGGTAGTAAAAATATGGTTTTCTATCAATCGCTCTTCCGTTAATATTTCTATAAATGGTGCTACAACACTTGACCAGAAATCATATCCCGCCATGGACGAATGGATAAAGGAGTTCAGTCATTAAGGCTCTGGAGTGTGCCACAGTGTTTGTGAGCATGATGTGTAGGCATGCACGCCTTGTAAGGTCGAATTGCGTTCGAAGGCCAGATTTGCTTCGTACGTAAGCAGAAGTGCATGGGGAAGGGACTTGCTAGACTCCTTAGTTTTTCTTACGACTAGAAACAGATTTTGTTGGAGCAACCCGTTAAACAACAAGAATTCAGATGTGGAGAGTCGAGAGGAGGATATAACGATTATTCGCCCAGCCGGCAGGTAGGCCGTTCATAACTCGGAGTTAGAGCAGTTGATGCCTCTCCTGGACATACGTTCTCGGATTCCATGAGGTCTCCTCTCTCACAACCAGCTCCGACTTAAAAGTGCCAGCTATCCTACCGCCATAACAAAAGAATTGTACGTAGATAAAGTGGCCAAGTGGAGTGTATTTCTTTCTGCCCTGCACAGACCTAAGGAGGAAAACAATTTTATTTGTGGAATTATTTTGACCTCCGTGGGTCTCGGTTATACTTATCACAAGGGGTTTATTCAATGCCGCATCTGTGTTCGAACTGCAGCCACAAATACTGCAACCTGCCTAAGGAGAAAACACTCGAAAATGTTTAAGCTCTTTATGATTTTCAGTTTCATAGGTGGTATAGCAGATTTCAAATAATTCACTTTGACCCAACTATGAAAAACCCGGTGCCTCGGTGGGATTCGAACCCACAACAGCAAGGAGAGCCTTTGGAATCTGCCATAACATCTATGAGTTACGTGAGCCTGGCAGTCATCTGGTGGATTCTAGGTGAATTACTCAGGAGATCCTGCTTGGGCAGTCAGCGTACTGTATCAGATATGATGGTACCAGACGTTGCAGTAGGTTGGGCGGGTAAACTTGACCCAAGTGTGATTAAACTCGCGTCGCCTCGTAGCTCAAATGGTTAGAGCGTCGGCTGTACTAAAGCTTCCCCTTACTGTCGTGGATCGGAATCCCACCGAGGCACCTAGTTTTGCACAGTTGGGTCAAAGTGAATTATTTTCAGTTCCATAACTTCCGTCAACATTCATTGCCTGATGTGTTTCGCCCGGAGCATTGGACATTAACGTACGGTCTTGGAAGGTAAGTTGCCCGAACTTCGCTTCATAGACACCATACTGAACTTCCGCGTCCTCCATCCTCTCCGTAGCACTTGGTTCAGCATTAAATTCCAACAACGCTTCCTTTTCGAGGATTCTTCGAGTTAGAAAAGCCTTTATGGCTTCCTTCTTCGCAGCTCTGCGTTCAGCTGAGGATACTCGCCCTCTTGGATGTGGTGGGGCGCTCTTTTCTGGTGGCATCTTATCCTCTTCGCCAGAAGCCTCTTCTAAAATGGGAAAATTTGAACATTTTTCAATGATACCAACAAAGTGACAGAAATTAGAAAATTCGGTCATCTGTCATCTCGCAATAATTAAATTAATAATACTTCACTACTGATACTGTTGGTAGTACCACTTCTACTATAATTTCAGGCCTAGCTGTTGCCATCACCGCATGTTTGAGTATCGCAAGCGACTGCATTCAATTCAGTCCTGAAGGAAATGCAGCCAGGACTCGTGTGTGAGTTTGTTTTTAGAAAAACGTGCTTGCACAACACTTGGTACACTGTCACCACGTTCATTCTCTTTTACACACATGCTCTCTCTTTCCTCCCATATGTACATTTGCTTGCCCGGGCTTGTAAACAATCAGTGATGGGATTGGGTGCATTGACTGCGCGGGTTACTGTCTGACGCGAGCCACGGCATGTAACCGTACGACAGTAACCGAGGTCTCACGCAGATCCAATGCAACCTGTTCCATTTTCTGGGTCCTTATGGGCAACTTTTTTATTTGTTGATCGTTTATCACTATACAACCGCATGCAAGGAGACTGGATCGGATTTTCAGGGCAAGGAGTAGCGCCTGACGCCTCGGACGCTGTAGGTGAGCTGCGTACACTGCGGCACCTCTCGCGCTACCAGGCCGTGCCAACTCCTGTTGGTCCTCACAGTTTTTTTAGGTTACAGAATCCATTCTATCAGCTTTAAACCCCCTTTGAAACCGTTTTGTATGGCAGTCTTGGTTATTTGCAGGCAAGTCCCTTTTACTGCACACCGAACCGCGCATAGCCATCAGTAACTTGGTAAATGACTTCGAAAAGATATGAATGTGCCCTTAGGGGGTACGGTGGACAATTCAAAGCGTTTTTAAAAGAAGAACAACCTAAAGTCGAACCCGGCAGACGAATAGTCCGTAGATGCTGCTCATCATGATCCTTACATACGGGAAGTCTGCAGGACTTTACTCCAGGCGTCTGTTGCTACACCACCCCTCTCCCGTAATTGCACGCGCGTACCAGTGGCAGTCTGGTTTTCGACCAATCACAGTTATGCAAGTCGGCCAATCACAGTTATGCAAATCAGCCAATCAACTTAACGGTCGACGCTGATACCTAGCTCAAGACACTGACGTCTGCCCCTGAGGCATGATGCTCTCTACACCGGCGACGGGAGAACCCATCTGTGTAAAGAATGTTAATAAATCTGATTGTTGAGTAGCATCGACTTTGCCTTCCATACCGAATGTATATCGAACAGAAAACTAACGGATGGAAGAACCAACCATCTTCATCGGCGAACAGGCAGTCCTCCTCAAATATGTCTTCATCAAATGCTGAACTGCGGCCATAGTTCTTGACCAGCGCGTACTCCAACTGTCTGATGGATGGTTCCGGCTGAGGTTGAGTAATCCGCCTGATTTCTTCAAAGAACTTGACTTCTGGCCTCCGAAGGCTGGGGAGGAGGTAGAACTCGGGAGGAACATCGACCTCGACAGGCAAAAGCACAAGAAAATGAGGTCGACTAAACATCAGCTAGGACGCAATAAATCTGTAATGAGTCTAGATTGGGAAGAAAATAGCTTGACTCCCCAAACAGGTGTAAAGTGTGCCAGTTCTTTTACATGGGGGGGGGAGATATCTGACATATGTGGGAAGATTCTGCAACGTAAACTCCTCCCCAGAACCGGGTGGACGAGAAAGGAACGAGGAGCGGTGAAAACGATCCATTGATATAGGCACTTGTGAAAGAATGCCCAGAAACACGGAATTATTCAAGCTCATGGGCTAATCGGTGATTTCCTTCTCACAACTAATTTCTGAAGAGCCAACCAAACAAGCAAAAGACACGCAAGCCTGTCGATTTTGGTTTTGCTACCCTAGAGAAAGCGTTTAACGGAGAGGGGAGTGCTGGTTTAGTAAAACTGCTGTTGGGCATAAGCACAGTAGCTCGGATGTGGTTAGAATTTTGGGGAACTGGCAGTGTGAGCCTATTTTATCCTATCAGCACGCACGAAAACCGTCACTGAAACACTGCCCATCACTCCTGAGCCAATCCCGTGATAGAGTTTGCTGGCATCGTTGGTGACGAGCAATGCATCGAATGTGGGAATATTTGTTTGCGACACATGCTACATTGTGGCCCGCTGCAGGTTGACCACTGTACTCATTCTCATCTCTAGCCATCTTCGTCTGGGCTCACAGAAGTGGAGAATGAGGTCGTTTCGGCGTTTAGCATGTTTACTATAAATCATCAACTCCCGTTTTAAATTATGACAGCGCCACGAAGTTGTAATTTCGAGGGTTGCCGACTGATTAGATTACTTGGTCCCACTCACTACAGCAAATGATACCCAACGTGGCCAGTTTATCATTTCTCTTCGATGCGATATTCAAGACCCTCTATTTGGGGTTTGGATTTAAGGCCGTTTTGCTCACGCCCATCTCTAGTCACCTAAACTTTATGCGGCCGGCAGAATACGGTTGGCGTAGGAAAGTGGGCAGGGCCAAAATGAAATATATGTAGAACGATTGTCCTTCAATTTAAACAAATGCCCACTCAGTTTAACACTGTGTTTCCTTCGGACGGTAGTGAAAATCACTTCTTGCGTTTGTTGTACACCGAAGTGTGCAGAAACTGAAGTTTTGTTCGCGAAAGGAAGCGGTTTGTAGAAGAAAAAAGTTTATGGACCAGCGGCCTCTCTGTTGCAATTTGTTCATCTAGAACAGCAAAAGTCTAGGTCGGATCTTATTTCGTAGCCGAAACAGCAGTAGACAAGCACCAGCCCAATCTCGAACCGTAACCCCAACCCCTTACCACTAACCTTACTCCCTAACCCCAACTCCCAACCCCGACCCCTAACCACTAACAGGTATGGCTATGAAATAGGATCTAGCCAAAGTATAATATCAAGTGGATGTCTCAACGAGTAAGTATTGGTCTTATCACACATAACTTCAAGTCTATTGACCATGCAAACAAGAAACCATCGCAGCTGCGCCAGGCAGCAGCACACGATCGGCGAAACACGCGTGTCTGGTCTTTTAGCTAATACCTGTGTTGTAAGTACGGCAAAATGATTACACAATCATATACTACTGGCTGCCTGTTGGCGGTTTGTGAACATTACGCGGTTATTCCGCAGTAGCTGATGGATTTCAACTCAAATATTCATATCAAAATTCGGACCGTGCCTGAAAAGGTCTTTTTCGAAAGATTTGCTCCAAGTTCGCGCATCAGTTTCCTCGGAAATTAAACAAGGCAAGCAAGAAACCCACAAGCCATTCAAATAAACCAGGTGAATTTTTGTTTTTTGATTTCAACACAAACCTCCCCGAGTGTTAACCATCGCTAATGCAAGAATAAAAGGCCCAAGCTTTGTGGCAGTAGAAGCGGCTGCTCAGGGTTTCCCGAGACTACTGAAGTCTAAGTATTAAAAACTAGATGAATAAAAGTCGAATGGATGATTATAAATATGCAAGTCACATTAAAAGTAATACCGCAAAGGAACTGTTGTTAATCCCATAGGTATCTCTGGCGTTAGTCTGATCACTTCAAAGGTTTATATTGCAGAGGGGACTTGCTTAAAATGGGGTCAGCTGTAAAGGCAGTTATAATCTTGAGTTATTTACGGACACACGGCTACACTCGAGGAACGTTTTATCATTAATGGTTTCATCAACAATTTCAAGCTGTTGTCGGCGGGCCTTGTATCTCATGTGGTTAGAGCGTTGGCCGTACTAAAGCCTTCCCCTTACAACGTAGGTTTTAATCTCACCGGGTAGCCGAGTTTTTCACAGTTGGGTCAATATGAATTATTCAAAATCTGTCAAAACATCTATGCTGACGGTTTCCTTAGAGAGGTTCTCCCATTTCACGAAGAGAAGCCCTCAAGAAGAGCAAAATGTAAATAAATGAAAGGCCATGAAAAGCGTAATAAAACGTTTTGTTTTCTCAAAAACATTGCCACCTTAGATTTAGAAAGAGTCCTCCCTGCCAGGTTATTAGGCGTAAAGCAGATCTATCCTGAGTCAAACTACGAACATCCGAGTCTTCTTTACTATTTCGTCATGTATTATTTATAATTTTTGTTCTCCTGCGATGACCATATTATACTCATTTTAGTGTATTTTTGAGGCACCTTAATTCGCTGTCGTGTAGTGTACCCTAAAAGCTCGAGGCAGAAGATTGTATGAAGTCATCAAAATACCCACAAGTAACAGCTGTCCCCATGCTGCATGATGCTTGGAATATTAGACGGAAAATTAGCACGATCTAGGTCGGTTCACATCCGGCACTCTGTTTCCGACCTTGCAGTTCAAGGGGTCATAGTAGGCCAATGATCTTCAAAAGCACAGATAATCATTACTATATAACTACCTTTGTGTAAAGCTCTTAGATTTCTGCAACCCTTTTTGAAAAGCAGGAATAAAAAGCCTCCGAGCGATTCTTTTTTGGGTCTTCTACAGGCAACGCCTTTGAAAATCCAAAAGAGACGTTCTGAGATTACAAAAACCCTAAAATGTAGTCGGTCTTGTTGTTAATTTTTTTGGAACGGTAGTAGAGGTAGCCATTCCCCCTCTCATTCTTTCCATCAATTTCCTTTTTCACATTCCTTCCCAGTCTTATTTTGCCCCAGATTCAGCCGTTCAACTTTTTTGTTATCTTGTCCTTGAACCACTTTTATTTCTTTTTTTCATAGGTCTCTTGTGTCTTTAATTCCAACTTTTAATCTTTATTACTTCTGCCCTGCTTCTTGTCTGCTTGCTCTAGTGGTTTATCTGTTGTCTTGTTAATACCCTCTCACCACATCCTTTATTTTCCTTCTCGTCCACTCCACCCTCCTCTACCCAAACATCCCAATCCCTGTAATTCTCAGCGTTATCGTGATTGCTACTAACGCCCACGGTCACACACTTTATATTAGCCGGGTCAGAGGGAGATGTTCATTCAGACAAGAGTCTGCAACCCTGTACCACTCGCACGTACCTACACGCGAGTACCAGTGGCAGGCTGGCCCTCAGCCAATCACAGTTATCCAAATCAATCAAGCAACTTCAAGGCGGATTTTAGACATGCCCCACTCAAAGCGCGCTGATATCTGCCTCACTGGTACTCGACCGCTTGCATTTTTGGCACCTGGCGTGCACCCTCGTCCGGCTGCCAACTTGCTCCAACCTCATCTCCATTCAGCCTGCTCTCTGTACTGGCATACAACTCCTAATTTCATTCCTGGTCGCGCTTAAAGGACGTAGTACGTAGAATCTGCCTGCGACTAAAGCTACAGGGATAAGTCTGTTGTCTCAAATTGCTGTCCTGTTCATACTGGGGGAATTTTTCTTTTGAGACTTACATGCTCTTTATCTAGTTCAGCGATCTTCTCCTTCTCCTCCTCCTTCTCCTCTCCCTTTGCGCCGTCAGCGATTTGTCTAGGGAAAAGAAAGAGCCAATGTTTCGAAAATGATTGAAGTAAGCAGCTGCACCTGCTGCTCCACTTTTACCCCCCCCCCCCAGAACTTCTCACCTCTGATTGTCCACTACTGGACTGCCCTCGTCCGTTGCCCTTTCGGCCGAAGCGGACTGCTTAATCAGCGCGGTTTCTGCCCGCTTCATTTCGCTTTCAGAATGCTGTGTGAGTAAGGCAGGCAGAGGACCTACCGGGAAATCGCCTCGGCAACTGCTTTTGGATTTTGTACCATAGACTCAAGACGATTGAGCAGAATCTGGTAAAAGCAGCAAAGAATAAAACAGTCACAGGTCGGTAGGGCTGCCTGGGGACAGGTGAGGAAAATAGGAACGAATAAGCCGCAAGGAGTACGTACAGGGGACTTTGACTATTTAGCACACCATGGGGTTGGCGGCAAAAATCCCGAAAGAGGATGCGGGGAATATCTTCCACCCCCCTAACATCTACAGTTCAACCATCGCAAACGATGATACCTACTGTTTGTCCCACGGCATAGTGGTTGTAGAGATAGCGACTTACGTGCGAATTCGTCCATAGTGTTAGCAGGCTTGCGCCGCATCTACCGTACTCCCTCCCGCATCACCTACTCTGTCTCGTGTCAAGACAAGAAGAGCGGGAGCGTGATCACGCGTAGTGGCTCATAAAGATGGACGACCTGTCTGCGCGTGCCGCGCACGCCCGCGTACAGGAACAAGGGTTGTCGGTTGGAATGTCCAGTGGACGGCAGTGTCAAACGGATTTGCTGTTCCCCACTTGCAGATGATCGCTCTGGTACCTTCTTACAAGCTCTGCTGACTTGCTTGGTCTATTGCAGACCAAATTTTTGAACAGTATTCTTTACAACTCACAAATTTTGTAAGTATACGAAGAAGTCGTCATTGGTGGATATGGTTCACGATCTCACCGAACATGCGTATTTGAATACATGAGAAGACCAGGTATAAATTTTAAAAATAAACAATCTATGGGTGCACCTCAAGTATCAGAATTATATTCTCAGGCCGAAACATAGGTGAGTTCGGAAGCAATCTGCTAATCTTTTTACTATGCATCATTGGCCAACGTCAAACGCGGTTTACTGGTGAAATCCGAAGAAGTAATTTGAAGGAATGTAAACTGGGGAATTTGTATTTATTGCCCGAGATCGCAAGCATTTAAATCCACTTTTCGATGTTCCATTTGTAAATCATAACTGCACTCTCCAGCTGTCAAGGATTTACTGACAGCTGTACTCTCTATAAGAATGTCACCCGTCTAAAATTAGAGATGTTTTTAGCAAACGAACGAACGAAAAGACTAAAATCCTACCTCAGTTTGGCCTTTGATGAATGGAAAACGCAAAAGCTGAGCAGCTGACGGTCGGTCGTGCGGATTCTTTGCGAAAATTCTTCGCAGGTCAGAAAAAGAGAGAAAAATACTGATTTGTGTCCGAGTTTTTTATATGTTTTCTGCACATTTTTCAATGAAAAAGATTTCCATTTACTTGTAATTCTAGTAGTGAAGAAAGATCCTGCAATTTTTTACTTTTTTATGGTTCGAGTACTGCTGAGGGTAAGTATTTCGCAGTCAACCTAGAATTCTTTAAGTTAGGCCAACATTAGATGTCTTAGTAAACCCAAACGGGTTTCCCTCGTTTCCGGACTTTGCCTTTCCATGTGTGACCTTCCGAAGTGGTAGCTCTGGAGATTTCAGCCAAGCCTCTTGCCCGGTAACGGAGACCGAATATCGCATGTTCAAAAACCTCCTCCACGTCCTAACAGACCGTGTTGGGTCGGGTTTAGAGTTGTGATCTTCTTCGATGTCCCCAGCAGCACTGAACTTGGGAAACCTGCCCAAACCACTTCGGTCTTCTTTCTTGGAGGAACTGTCGCTGTAAGTATGGACTTTTCCTTTTGTTACGGAATCGGTGTACTTAACTCGAAGGATCGTTCTCAAGTAGCCGTGATAAAACACTTCCAGTTTACGTTCAAAGCCAACACACGCACAAACTAGCACATACAATTGTATGGGAAGAATAACGGGACTAATTCCCCTTACATGAGGACCTTAATAACGATAGCGACATCTTCAAGACTCATATGCACTCCCCAGGTCTTGCAAAAACCCAGAGAAAAACATAAATTTCGAGATCAATGTTCTTACCCAATCCATTTGGTAAAGATTTCGCAGCAAAATGTTTGAAACAGTCCACTTTCCAGACTGTTAGTCATTGATCCGTTCTTTCCAGCACTCATAATGGCCAACCCATTCACCCCGATGCCATATTATGTACCTCGTTATAACTTAATGCTAGCAGGATAATATCATCAGCGTAGTCGAGGTCTGCAGACGGGTTATAAAACGTCGAATCATCGTGGACTCATTCCGAAGCCACAGACAGTGACGTAGTCAAAGAAAATGGACAACGGCACACAAAATTACAGCAGGCAAGGAAGAATACACAATCTTAGGAGAGACTGCTAAGCAGCAGATCTCGGCCGGTGATAGAACGATAGGAAGCCCTAATCATAGTGAATATTTTTATCAGCAAGCCATCCAGCTCCATTATTCGACGAGGGAAATTAAAGGCGAGCGATTTCGAACGCAGCATCCAAGCCAACAATGCAGACGGTCCCTACTTGTTGACTATTTCGATGGAGTTCAAGAATACGTGGTAATTCTAATTCTTGTGAGGTGTGTCCAGGTTCAGTTAGGGCTCATGACTTGGTTCGAGCAGGAATCCAAAACGTCTGGTCCCAGCGATCGTGCCTTCTTCAAGGAAGATAGTACGCAAACCTTTCTGAAGTTATTCAAATTTCGTCGCAGTTTTCATTTGTTTCTTTGTTCTTTAAAGTGATGCAATTCAGCTTAAGCGTGACACATTAGATTATAAATTTGACGATATTCGCGCCTATCTTAAAAACATGGCATTTTGCCAAATAATGCCAGTCCGGCTGACCTTCGGCCGCATTTTTCAGTCTACGAGTAAGCAAATAATGGTTCCCTTATACCTTCTTTCTTGATTTAGACTACACCGCTTAATGGATAGGAAAAGTGGCCAATAATCGAGACTTCCGTAAAGAACAAATTGATTGACACTCACTTGTCAAAGAGTTGTTGAAGCTGCTGAGGCCAGTCACCTGTTAGAAGTGGTGACGGGCCTTCTAGAATATTCCACATGAGGCCAATTACATTTGGCCCATCAAAAGCCCTGTTCGTCGTACACATTTCGTACATGATTATGCCCAGGGACCTGTTAAAGTCACCATAAAAAAATAAAGTTGATCAGTAAGTTATAGAATGTAAAAAATCAACCTAATTTTGCGCTATTTACTTGCCTCGCCTTACTACTGCAAACGTTTGTATAAACAGTGCTTAAACTTTAGGATGCAATTTGTATAAATATTTTACTCTTATCTGTCATCAAAGGCTATATTCTTATAGAGAAGCAAAATCCGGCGGACGTAAGCAGTGCAAAGTGGTTGTAGCCGTTATTTTCTCTCAACCATCGTCTTATACTGAAATCTGCTTTAAATAGGAGAAGTCGAACCCGGTGGACAAAAGCACAGCAAACCCAACAGGTCAACTTGAGGAGCTACAGCGTTGACTCACTACTACTGAAGAGGCGAGCTAAAGTACTTAGGGTCGAGTGTTCCGCTACAGTTCAAACGTCTGTTTTAAAAGGCGTCTGAATAAAAATTAGGGGCAGATTGTCAAGTAAGAAGACGATATTTGGGAAGTTCCGACAGGAACAAGAAATTATGTCATAAAGCAGCGTTTAATGCAAAAAAAGTGACACAGGTTTTTTCCAACAAAGTCACATCAAGCCTATGTGTAGTTGTGTACCGCCCGAATTACGTTTACCCCTCCAGAAGTCGCATGCTTAACACTTACATCTAAATCATACCGAACCATATTTAATTTGGCTTTAACAAAATGATAATGAGACCTAAGATATCAGAGCTCTCGAATTCGTCTTGCTCCGAATGTCATTGTGTCGGTAGATTGAGTTTATTGCTTGCGGGAAAAAACAAGGACGAACAAGTTTTAACTTCTTCTGATGACTTTATGTGGGTTTCAAGGTGTGCATATATTCATAACATAGTTGTCAGTAAGATGTGTATGCTCAAAAATATTTATGTTTACCAAATGTCCGATTTTTCGGTGTACTTCTGTTGTCGGAGCACTTCTGGGCTCGAATAATAAGGAGGGTTTGGGAGATGATCCTTCAGGGAAACGGTTTGTAATGCGCCTTCGAAAGTTCCGATTTTAATCATTTTATCTTTTATTAAGATGCACCTAGGTGGCAAATAAGAGTATTAAGTTGAGAGACATTTTCATCACTAAGTTAGTTTTATAAGGAATTTACTTTAGTTGGATGAATTATGCACGAGGTCAATTGAAATAACAACTTGATCCCCAGATTTTGACATCGGTGCCCGCATTTTGCCATAATGATGGCAAAGATGCAACTGTTTAAGATTTAAAAATAGTATAAACGCACGTCCGGACGTTATGCCTAACCTAATAATTTTACAATGTTAGGAATATAAAATGCAGGCGAAAAAGACTTATGGTAAAAAGTTTTTAGATGAGTCCTTATTATAAGTGCATCTCATTTTGGAAAAAAGAAACGTAAGACGGGGAATCTGAACGCCCTTGTTACATGCGACCTTGCGCTAGACCCCAGGTTTAAATTTATGGCATATACTCTGTCCTGGAATTTACGGCAAGACCACCTGTGGTACGGGAGGATGAATATTCTTTCATATAACTACAAAAAAGACGTTTCATCTGTACCTCGAGTCTAAGCTTCCGTGAAGGATACCCTGTTCGTGCATGTAGTTTATTCCCAGAAGTAATTGAATGATCCATTTTGTGGCCAGCGCCTTTTCTATTTTGGAACCTGCCTTCCTCATGTTGCTGATAAAGGTCGAAAGGTCGCCACCCTGAAAAACACGAACGCAATTTAATAAAACTGCTTATATATTATAACAAAACCTTTTGTGGCAAGCCGCGGAACTAGTGCATCCGACGGCTAAACAATGCCTTAAGCTCGACAAAATCCAAAAACCTCCCGCGTGAAAAATACCTCTTTGAGTGTGGTTTAGTATACTAAGATGAATTTAGCCTGTAACATGTTGTCACGTCTATGGTTTGTTAGCACTTTTCGTAACACAATAAGTAACAAAATGATGAAAATTTTAGATGGTTAGAGCCACTGAAGATAGATGTGAAAAATGCAGAATATTAAAATGATCAGTTTTATTATCGAGTATGGTTTTTACAGGCCGAAAGTAAGTGGATTCAAAAGCTGACATCGTGGGAAGTCCGAAGTATTCTATGGTTTTCCTCTATGATAATCAGCATTATAATCCCGCCGAAGTAATCCATCGTAATTGAAAACGCCTTCCAGAATTTCGGCTAGTACTTGATAAGATCGGTCAATTCACATTCTTTGATAATTACTTAAATAGAAATCGCAAAGTTCTTGAAGCCTAAACTATTAAGTATATATTCTTAGTAGTTTAGCCTTTAACGACTTAGTGATTTGTATTTAGGCAAATAAACCCGAGTTATTCCCAAAAATTCAAGTTTATTTATTTTTCTGAGGAAGCTTAAAACAGCGCTTGTGACCATAGTATGTTCATTGAAAATAAAAAACGACAGTTTGCATCAATCTGCCGAGAGAACCGCTACAACGTACGCACGCGCATACCAACGGGTAAAATTAAGCTTTTTGGGTAAGATTCACAATCGGAAATGGCTTAAAAACACTGCCGATTACGATTTGTTTTTGTTCGAGGACTTTAGGGAAGGTTAATGACACAGAAGATTATCTTCCATCCTGTGGAATTCTACTATGTATTGCTGAATCATCTGTAATTACTGTGGTATTCGCCATATACGTTTTCTGGCAATGTTGCATGTGCGACAAGAAGGCACGCCGAGGAAAGAATTTAATACATATTTTCTTGAACAAAATGTGACCTACATCGCAATAGTCGTATACAGTGAAGAGAGTTTCATTTTCGATGAAATAATTCAGCGGTTGGAGTACATGCGAATGAACGAGATGCGACAGTGCCTTTAGTCTATTTGTAGTGGACGCGATATGTTTGGGACTGGCATGTTTAATGCACTGAAGTTTGACTGTTCGTAGTCTGTATAAAAAACCTGAGTTAGTCAAAAATATGTCAAACATCATCTTGTCTTTATCATTGGACTCCTTGACAAGATAGCATAAACAGTTTTCTTTTTTCTGTTGAACACTGACAATCTCGTACCGAAAATCGCACATATATTGTTTGATTATTTTAAGCTGGTCAGCCATGGGAATTTCCTCGTTGTCGTAAGTGGTGCTATCGCTTGAAGGAAATTACGAATAGTGACCACGCTGTAATCATGGTTTTTAAGGCCATTTTCAAGGTCAAGGTTAGCATAATTAATCTTTATTGTTTAGTTCGCATCTAACACTATATTTTCGTGATATCCGCTGTGATTCTGTAATGTTACGTAACCTGGGCGACGCACAGTCAGGTCCGCAGTTAATCTTACATTTTATAATTTGAGGAGTGGAAGATGAATTGTCGAATTTCCGATGAGTTAGTAGACAAAACCTGCGATAAACCGACGAAAATGACAGAAATAAGGGAGTGGAAGGGGTGAAATAATTAATCGCAAACAAATAATAGGAAAGTTAATCGGACTGTCTTGGCTGCTTGTATATGGTAAAAATGTGAAAAATGAGTAAAATAAGCATTGTACCTCAACATTATCGTCCAGGCATGCCTCAATGACATGCTGCTTGTCTGAATTAAAGTTTCTAATTCGTTCTTATCCTTGGCCGACAAAATATTTCTATAATTGTAAGTTCGTTAACGGGACTACCGCCATCTTGCTTCTATCATAACTTCGTGACGACTCACAGCGTCTGTTTTGAAATTAGTCAGGGTGGGTTGATTTGGTGCCTGAGCGGTTAACTCGTTTGCACCATATAAGATGGTGGGGCTGTAATAATGTGCGAAACAATGTAACGACTTCTTTCCAAAAAAGAAACGATTTGGAATACCAAGTCGTGTATCAGGCTTTAATTGCTATTTTGATTTTGTTTATTTTGAGTTGTACAAAAATTAAGTATACGTATAAATTGAAAAACAGGCATCCCAAGAAATATAATTAGAATGGTGAAGTTCTTTGGGAAACAGCAAAATTTTATTGAATTGTCGAGACTGGTTCCCCAGCTCGTCTTCAGACAACGGGTGTGCAAAAACTATTAACTTTTAGACTGAATCTAGCAAAAGGAGTCCATGATTGGTTAAGGTTGTCATCTCCGGATTGGCTGACTCAGTTTGAATCTGTCCTTAACGATTTTGTTTGTGGCATCTAAATCGATATGCCGGTTGATGCATGCCTCATCTGAGTGCATTGCCTCCAGGAATTCGCGGCCTTTTCTTGTTTGGCAGGCTCCAACAATGCGAGTGTCCTCCCATGCGAAGTTATGCCCAATGTCTAGTGTGTGCATGGCCACCTGGGATAGATGGTCGCGTCTCTTCACCGCTAAATTATGCTCATGTATACGGGTTAAGACAGCTTTCTCAGTTTGGCCACAATAAACGGCATCACAACTAGAACACGGGATTTTGTAGACGACACCTTTTCTTTCGAGGTATGTGTGCTGTAAAACATACACATGGTCGCAAAACTTGTAGGTTGGACATTTTCACTTTATTCGAATGACAGCTTTTATTTGATCTAGCAGTGTGGCATCTGCATTGTCCAGTTTGGGCACCCGCCAAGCATAATAATTTTTTACTCTTCCCAGGTTCCCTGGATTTGTGTAGGGGATAAACTTTTCTCTTATGTTCATAAGCGCAGATTGTACGGAAAAAAATGTACATGTCAATCTATTTGAAACCGTGTCCCTTTAAGTTATATCGTAGTACCGACGCTCATGGTCGGCGACAATAAGTTTAAGCACGTTAGGAGTTTCTCAGCTGAAAGATGGTGAGGAAAGCTAAAAAAGCATTTTTAGTTTTCAGTTTATCTCATTTCTGATAAGTATAATAGGCAGCACCTTTGAAAACCATATTGATTACATGCTCATTCGTTCAATACTGCTGTACATGAACAATGAATGCCGTCGCCATTCAATTGTACTCCCATGATTTAGAAAGTATTGTTTTTTTTTACCAATTATGGGGTTCGCGGCGTATTTGGCTCAGATACGGACTGTCGAGGGAATACAGGAGACCCTAGTTATCGTCTTAGACTTCCTCGAAGAGCTGCAGGGACGTCGCCTCCACGACTCATTCCGGGAGATCATAGTATGGCTCCACCAGCAGCCTGTCCATGGCTCCTTTTTAAGGCGCTTTCCTTGTCATTCAACAGCTGAGTCACCCGCGCCAGCATACAAGGCGATCGCGAACGCAAAGCCACCCTATCACGCTTGAGACAGGACGTCCGATTTTCGGCCGCAATGAGCCAGGACGCCCCATTTTCGGTCGCAATGAGCCACGACTGCGCGTATTAACTTTCGCCGCATCACGCGCGTCGGAACCTCTGGTTCGTTACCCGTGTCATGTGGCATTATGCGTTCTAGAGTCCTATTCATACTGAAATACTGTAAGATGCTGTTTTCTTCGCAGAATTGCCTTATAGCACTTTTTGTTTTGGCTTGAGAGGCATGTCAGCTAATGGGCCTGAAGCCGCTTGCAGCTATTCTGCTATCTTCCTTGTATAAGGTAACGAGGTTGTTTGTCTTTCACTGTGAAGACAGTCTACCTGTTCTCAGTGACAACTAAAGGAGAGTAGGAAGAGGCTTTGTCAGCTTCGACGATAGTTCCTTAGGTATCAACGCAGGAGTCCCACGGGATCCAGGAGAGTTGTCTAGGTTAATCTAACCGAGGACGATTCATACCACTTCGATGGAGAAGGCAACGATTTCATTGACGGGAGTACCTTTATTCATACGAAGCTTCCGATTGTCCTAGCCCATTTAAAACTCCTACTTGTCTTCAGGGAACTCCACCGTTAAAACTATCGAAAAACCAAGACAGTAATTGTACTTTCTGTGACTATCCGTTAGACACGCAATTATGTCCTCGTGTTTTCTCCTACAGCGGATGTACCCACAAAACCTCTTGGGGCATATAATGTATTCTGTTGTCAAACGGAGCTCTGAAGGTGCTCTAACAACCCGTGTTTGTTTGCAGTAGTTTTCTGTTGACCCTTTATTCGGAGTTTAGCAGCGATCTAACGCTGTCGTTTTTTAAATGTCTCCTTGATATGAACCGTTTATTGAGGGTTTTTATTCGTCTTCAAAGGAGACGCTCCTTTCATGCCTGAGGCTTAAACAACGGCTTACATTAAGAGATCAATGTCCCAGGCTTAGGTCCTGGTAATCACCGGATCTTGAATATTTGGGTGAGCAAATTTGGAGACATTCTTAGGTACAGAGAACTATCTGAATATGCATTCGAAATGGCTAGAAATTGTGCATTATAGGGCAAGGCTGGGGAACAGATGCTGGGTTCATAAAACGTAAACGCTCAAAGTAGACATGATACTGAGATTTATTTTTAAGCTCATATACGACCAGTTGACCACCAGTGGCGAGAAAGTCCTCAGTTTTGGCACAATCGTTCAGTTCAGATCAGTTTATTGAGGGAAATGTAGGTCTTCACCTTTGAACTCCTTATTTGTTTACAAGCAACTGCAAAATCTCAAAAACTCGAAAAGGTATCATAAAGTAACAAATAATCGGAAAAGCGTCAGGTCTGTACAGACAAACAAACTGTCTCGAATTTTAGTGGTACGAGCAGTTGTAGAGCTGTCGTTTCGAGTGCAGCGAAATAAATAATATGTCCGGGGACAAAATTTGCATATGTGCATGTCAGTAAGCGTAGGCGATGGGTTGGTACAATAATAAGTTCAATTTAAAATGTTACTGAAATATAGCAAGTAGTATTATAATAACGGAATTTGTCGAGGTTACAGAGATCGGGGTGGTAATTTAGTGCACACTGCTACACAAATCCAGCTTCCTCTTAAAAACCTCGACGGAAGCAGACATAACGACATCCACAGGCAGGGCATTCCAGGCTTCTACCACTCTGTTGGAGAAGAAGAACTTTCGTGTGTCCAGTCTGGCCCCTGTCACACGTAGTTTGAATGGATGGCCTCGTAGATTTGTGGTGGTTGCTAACTCGAAGAAGTCACCCGGTACGAGGCTGCAGTCCTGACCGCGTATGATACGGAAGGCTTGTATCAGGTCACCCTGTAACTGCCTGTAACTCAAGGGAAAGAGATGAAGGTTAGCTAACCGCGTTGCATATGGTAGTGAACCCTGTCCTGCCACAAGTTTCGTTGCACGCCTTTGAACCCTTTCAAGGATGCTGAGGTCCTTCGCGGTCCAGGGTCTCCAAGCTTGGATAGCAAATTCTAGTTGCGGACGCACAAAAGTTCGAAAGACTTTGGCGAAGCAGTCTTCGTCAAAGGCAGAGAAAGCCCGCTTGACAAGGTAGAGGACTGACAATGCAGACTTGGCTATCTTCGTGCAGTGCAGCGAGGGTTTGAGCGAGGTCGTAATCCATACTCCCAAGTCCTTCTGCGAGTCCACTTCTTGCAGTGGTCTACCATTTAGGCAGTAGGCCATATGGTTCGGAGAGCGAGCTCTGCCGACTCGTAGAATATTACACTTTTTCTCGTTGAACGGCAGAAGCCAGGCCTTTGACCACTGTTGGAGTCGATTTAGGTTCGCCTGCAGATGCTCTTCGTCATCTACAGTTCGAATGACGCTCCAGAGCTTAATGTCATCCGCAAACATGGCGACACCACAATCCAGTTCACTCACGCAATCGTTGACGTAAATGATGAACAAAGTAGGGCCAAGAACTGAGCCTTGGGGAACACCGCTTTCAACGGCAACCTCCGTCGACTTCTGGCCACCGACATGGACAGTTTGACAACGGTCTAACAGGAAGCTTTGAATCCATTTTAAGAGGTTACCCCTAACGCCTGTTCGGCTCAGTTTGTGCAGGAGTCGCTGATGTGGGACACTATCAAATGCCTTTTTAAAGTCGATATAGACTACATGCAGCGCATTGCCTTCATCAACTGACCGAGTCCAACGTTCCAAACAGTTGAGCAGGTTAGTCACGCAAGACCTGCCACTACGAAACCCATGCTGCGCATCAGATAATAAATTATGCTGCTCTAGGAAGCGCATCAGCTCTCGCTTGATTATTTTCTCCATGAGTTTGCAGCAGATGGAAGTGAGGCTAATTGGCCTGTAATTGTTTGCAGAGGCCTTGCTGCCTCCTTTATGCAGTGGTGTGATCCGCGCAAATTTCCAGTCGGCGGGCAAGCCGCCGGCTTCGAACGAGGCTTGGAAAAGCATGGACAATGGTTTGGCTAGTTCGGCAGCGAGCTCCTTCAGTAACTTAGGCGGTATGTCGTCTGGACCTGGTGATTTCGACTCATTTAGCGTCATTAGCTCTTTGCGAACCGTCGCTTCATCAAAAGACACAGACTCGATTTTTGGACCCTCATCGAAGTCGTAGTCGGGGGGAGTAAATTGACTTTCACTAGTAAAGATGGATTTGAAAAATTGTGAAAAGTGCTCAGCTTTTTCTCCATCCTCACTAATCTCTACGTCTCCGGTAGTCTTCAGGAGGGGGATTGGATCTCTGTTTCGTGTGCTGCTTCTTATGCAGCTGTAGAATAATTTTGGATTTTCCATAGCACGATTCAATAGGTCTTTTTCAAAATTTTGCCGTGTCCTGAGGATCAGCCGCTTGACTAAGTTCCTCTGTATTTTGTATGCGTTTATGGATACAGGAGTCCCATCAGTAAGAGATTTCTGCCACAATCTCCGTTTTTTATTTATGTCCTTTTTTAACGCCTGGGTCAGCCACCGGGGTCGTTTGTTTAGCCCCTTCCGTGAAAGCGGGCAGTGGTTTGTCAGGAGAGCATGCAATAATTCACTGAACCATTTCCAATCCTCCTCTATATTTCCGGAAAACGCTGATTCCCAGTCCGTATTGTTGATTTCGGCCTTCATTTGATCGAAGTCCCCACGCCAAATATTTCTTCTAATTTTGGTGGGCTGTTCAGGCACGGAAAAGATTGAATAGTCCCATTGAAGTACAACGTGATCGCTTCGACCTAAGGGAGGCAGACATTGTACCTCATCTATGCTGTCCATCGATTTCGTGAGCATCAGGTCCAAGCAGTTTGACTGCTGCCCCTCACGGACCCTCGTTGGAAATAGGACGTGCTGTGTGAGAAATGACCTGAGTGCCATGTCCAAGAAGCGTCGGTCGAAAGCTAGTTCTGGGCCGCGCGCGTATAGTGAACTCCAATCAATGAGCGGTGCATTGAAGTCGCCCATGATTAGGACGTCAGGCCGGAGAGCAAATCGTCCTAGCTCCTCTAACAGACGAGCGTCAGCCTCGGGGTCACTCCTCGGTGGTCGATAGACGGTCAGAACTTCAAGGCTATGTGATCCTGGTACCCTTATAGTGAGCCAGATAGTCTCGGCGCTGCAGGCAAACTGTTCTGTTTTTTCTGACACAAGCAGGCCGTGTTTTACGTACGTGACGACTCCTCCTCCCTGACGCTCTCTCCTGTCTCTTCGAAACAACTGAAATCCTGGTAGCATTAATTCGCGGTCATCCACGTTTTCAGACAGCCAGGTTTCTGTCAAAGAGACAATGTCAGGGGAAAGGTCACAGATGTGGATCTTCAGTTCGTCTAACTTGGGCAATATACTCTGCACGTTGGTGTAAAAAAATTTTAGTTTCAGAGTTTTGGGGCGTTTGATTATGGTGCCGCTTGTGATCCCATTTAAGGAAGCTACTGTGCCCTCATCCGGATCGGTTCGATCCAACGGATTAGGGGAGGGCGCTGCACTATCTGGTTGTTGTAGATAACAAGATCCGTCTCGCCATTCTGCAACCTTGTTCTCAGTTCCAGAACTAATTGTCGACGTTTTATTCTCTCTGCCGGTGTGTAGTCCGGCTGAAAAAAACGCCGCGGTTGGTGTCTTTGATTCGGAAACGTCGTGAGAGAATAAGTCCTACTTGTTCTTGGTTGGCTAACACAATCTTGAGTGGTCGGGGACGTGAGTGCTCTGATATATCGATTGAGCGCTTTCCAAGCCCAAAGGCCTTGAGAACCGAAACTTCCTCATTGGGGCGCAGAAGTTCGTTGAGTTGGCATTGGAAGAGTTTCAGGTCTGCCGAGACCCGCTCTTTGGAGGCACCATCTGTGGATTCGGGAAGTCCCTGAATAATCAGACATTGTCCTCTGACCGGCGACACTCTCGAGAACACAGTGGTTTCATGCTCCGACATAGGCAATATGTGGTTGCCATGATCTGACGAGGATATAAGCTGCAGTCGATTAATATCCTCATTCGTCTCTGTTTTGTTGGCATTTTCATCAAAGTCGGAAGTTTTTTGCGATAGGTTGAGGGTTTTAGGACCCATGTCATTTCCCGTGATGGGCGACACGGACGCCGACGTCCCTGGTCCCGGTTCTCCGGAGGCATTCCTCGGAATCTGCTGGTTATGTCCTTCGACCTTTTTGCTGCACAATTTCTTTTTTTCCTCTGTTTTTTTATCGTTGCTTCGCTGGTTGTTGTCGTCTTGTATTTTATGTGTTTGTGCTGGGTGTGCCGTGACAGCTACGGAAGGTGTTGATGGCGTATTTTTTGTGCGACGTCCTTTGGCCCTACTTCTAGTTATTCGTCCAACAGGTACATTCGCATCGTCAAGTGTGTCTAGTTTACATTGTAGAAGGGTTTTCATCTTTTCCATCTCTTCCTCAAGGCGGTTGATTTTGCCGGCCAATATCTCGCATCCACTGCAAAATCGATCGGTATGCGGCACGCATTTACTATCAAGTAAACCTTGCGACATCGCCCACCGTCGTGCCGCGGTGGCCGAGGGGTTAGGGTGCGCGACTGAGATGTCGATGGTCGGTGGTTCGACTCCGTCATGCGGCGCAATACTTTGTGTGGCTGCGCAAATCGTCATTATATAGTGGACTTATGAAAAACTGACAAATCTGCAGGAATAACAAGCTATTTCCTAAGGCGCAACTGTGGACAGTGCCTATGCTTATGCTGGATACGCCGAAAATTTCCAGGGAACGCTTTTTTCAGGTAAATCTATGGTAAAGTGAGACAACTCGAGTTGTCCGAATTTAAGCAGCACAGCAAGCAGTGCAGAAATATCGACTCAGCCTTATCGTAGATGTTGCTCCTAACTTCGGTGAGCAATTGGAGACGGTGTATTGGATGGGTAGGCCCTGTAGACAAGCCGAGATTTCCGACAGATAGACCGTTTTTGCTGAAGTTTGTTCTGATCGAACGATAGGAGTATCGATGGCGATAGCTGGAGGATCGTTGTCAGAAAGGCGTTTTATAATCCACGTTTTGGTGAAGGACAGTCGTTTTCAGCGAAGAGAATCGATTTAAAAACTTCCGTCTTGAAACTCAAAATTCAAACCGCGCGGTTTAATTGTGATATGCATTTGAATGTATTTAGAACGAAAATTACTTACGCAGCATCTACCCTTTCCCGTATTACCCCACCCATGTCACTCCGATGACGGAGCCAAGTCAGAAGGATTCGGGTTGTATGCTGACGTCCCTGCCAGCACCAGAGGCACTTGGCCGCACTTGGACGAAGCAAATATGGTGTGGCCATCAACACATTGGCCACTTTTGGCCACACCTTGCAAAAAATTTTGCGTGCGGGCTTTTTCTCATTTTTTTTCCCTTCATCGCGGCCTCGATTTTTTTGACCGTAAACGCCAACCATGACGAACGGTCGCCTAATGTAAAACCCCGAAACAAGTCACAGCGAACCTCCACGTTCCAAGCAAGATAGGCTACGGAGGTAAGTGGCCCGCTACAGGGCAAATGCGGATATCGAAGATGGTAAAGTCGGAAGGCGGTTTTGTGGAAGGACGATTTATTGAATACGTAGGTCAAAAATGTAAATGTACAAAGTCTGTCTTGGATCATGGGCGTTTCAGCGACCTTCGTATCAAGGATGAGAAGTCACTTTCACTGACCATTGGTAGTTCCTGCATAAAAAAAACTTTCGTAAGACACGTAATGCAGGCGCAACTGAAGTAATGATACACTGTATCCAATACGTACGATTTTAATAGTAAAAATCATATGAAGTAAATAGCATGCTGTGTAGGATTGGCAATTCGATTAATTTGCTTACCAGTTCTTTGGCGGGGGATAATTGTCGGCATGTGGCGGCAGGTAAGGTGATTTTTGTAGTCTAAAAAAACCGATCTCAGAAACACACACAAACAGGTTTTTTTTCAACCGGACTATTCACCAACGGAACGGTTGAAACGCCGGGAACTTGTCTTGGAGTTAAAATCAAGACTGAAGGATGGCGAACACAATCTGGCTATCTTCAAGGGGAAGGTAGTTCGAAAATATATGCCGTTTCAGTGGAACCAGCCTGTAATACTACGAACGACGACAGCTACTCAGCTAAAACAGACACCTTCGTTGAACCACCTGATCAAGGCGCCAACACAAGTGAGCCCGTAGCGTCCAGTGATCTGACTGAAACAAGGCATGTAAATGGGACCAATCAGGTAACGGAAGAGCCTAGAGAACACGACGTCCGCGATAACGGAGTAATGCTCACAGCAGTAACAAATGCAACGGGAAATTTGGCTGGTGCTAAACTGAGGTGCTTGTACACGAATGCCCAAAGCCTCATATCGAAACTAGACGAACTAAAACTTTGCCTTGTTGAACTGTCTCCAGATGTTTTAGCAGTAACTGAGATCTGGCTGTCCGGGAATATTAGCGATAACGAAGAAGCCTTGTCTGGATACCAAATTTATCGGAGGGACAGGGAACATCGTCAGGGTGGTGGTATCGTTGTGTATGTGAATGACAGTCTGAAAGTGTCGGATAACACCACCAAGTTTGCGTGCAGTACGGAAGCTATCTGGTTGACCATCAAGGCTACCGGTTCCCCGAGTCTCGATGTCCTCACTGTCTACCGACCACCTAGGACAGACCGAATCACCGACACTCAACTATTGGAGCAGTTGGAGAAATTTTCCAGTCGACCTAACATCATGATCATGGGCGACTTCAACGCACCAGGAACAAACTGGAATACCCTCCAAGCGTCAGGTCCAAAATCGGCATTCGATTACCGCCTGTTGAGCAAAACATTAAATGCGTGCCTCACACAACATGTAATGTTCCCAACGAGAACACGTGAAGGACAAAGGGCAAACTGCCTGGATCTGGTCTTTACGAAAACACCAGGCAGCATAGACGAGACCGTCTCCATGCCGCCCCTTGGCCGAAGTGACCACGTAGTGCTTATGTGGGATTATTCGTTATTCTCCATTTCACACACTCCAGACCACAAAAGGCGTAATGTTTGGCGGGGCGACTTCAATCAGATGAGGGCAGACTTATCCGGTCTTGACTGGGGCTCATTGTTTACGGGAAGTGCCAACGATGACTGGGAGCTGTTCAAGAATGTCCTTCTGCAGCTCATCAACAACCACTGCCCACTGACTAGTGTAAGACTGAGCAAACGCCCTGGGTGGCTAAATAGCAACCTCAACAAAGAAATCAACAGGAAGCACAAGTTGTGGAGAAAATACTGTGTCACTAGACAAGCTGAATGCTTCAACACCTACAAGACACAGAGGAACAAACTGAGGAAGCTGATAATGCAGACGCGGCGGGAATTCGAGAAGAACTTGCTACAAAAAGCAACGCAGAACCCAAAATTGCTCTACAGCTACCTCCGATGAACTACAAGGAACAGGCATCAAATCCCTTTGATAAAGACTACTGATGGCGATGAGATCGCTGATAGTAGGGATAAAGCTGCGTATTTTTCACGGTTTTTCCAATCAGTCTACACAAACGAGGCAAGGTTCCTTCCTCCCTCCACAGAAGAACTGCCGACTCCAAGCGTCAGTGATATACTCTTCTCAGAAGGCATTGTCCGAAGAGAATTAGAGGCATTGAACGAATCGAAGTCGCCAGGACCAGACGAGATTCCATCCAAGCTTCTGAAGGAACTTGCCCGTGAGCTCTCTTTGCCTTTGTCGATGCTCTTTCAAACGTCATTTGACACTGGAACACTTCCTGTAGATTGGAAGCTGGCGCATATTACTCCGCTACACAAAGGAGGTACCAGGGCAGCGGCGACAAATTACCGGCCCATAAGCTTGACATGCATTCTCTGCAAAGTTATGGAAAGGATCATAAAGAGTGAACAGATGCAATTCCTGGAAGTTCACGGCCTGCTATCGAAATGCCAACATGGGTTCCGAAAAGGAAGATCCTGCACGACAAACCTGCTGCAATCTCTCCAGAGCTGGACCCAAGCTCTCGACGACAGGCACGCGGTCCACATAGCCTTTATCGACTTCCAGAAGGCTTTCGACACTGTGCCACACCAAAGGCTCTTACATAAGCTGAAAAAAATAGGGATCGGTGGCAACTTCCTTAAATGGATCGAAAACTTCCTTGTGGGTCGACACCAGGTTGTGTGCATAGGTCGGGGAAAATCAGATCCGGCTATGGTCGATAGTGGTGTCCCCCAGGGTTCAGTACTGGGACCCATTTTGTTCCTTATCTACGTGGACGATGCCACAAGAGATTTAGATTGTGAAGTAGCAATGTTTGCGGATGACATGAAGATATGGAGTGTAATTCGGGGTCCTGCCGTTGAAGACAGACTGCAGATGAACCTGAATCGGTTGGAGGAGTGGTCAAACCGTTGGCTCCTGCGGTTCAATGTTGCCAAATGTAGCATACTTCGCCTAGGCAACACAGCCAGATCCGCCAGCACAAGAGGCTACTTTCTGGGCGGTGCAGCCCTACAAGAGGTCGAAGCCCAAAATGACCTCGGTGTGCTGACGACGAGTTCCCTAAAACCATCCGCCCACTGTTCGAGGGTGGCAAAAACCGCAATGTCCGTACTGTACGCCATCAAGCGTGCGTTTATGGACTTTGACGAAGAAGCCTTCTCTAAGACATTCGGAACATTCGTCCGGCAGAATTTAGAGTACGGCATTCAAGGCTGGAGGCCGTGGGCTGTTGTGGATCAAAACTGTCTCGAAAGAGTCCAGAGGAGATCCACGAAGATGGTCAGGGATCAAAGCTCCTTTCCTTATGCGACCCGCCTAGTAAATCTGAACCACTTTCCTTTGAGTTACAGGCAACTTCGCGGAGATCTCTTGCAAGTCTTCCGCATTTTAAAGGGGTTGGATTGCAGTCTGGCCTTCGAGGACTTTTTTGAATTTGCTACCACGACCAACCTCCGAGGTCACCCGTTAAAACTGCGCACTCAGCAGGCACGGCTGGATGTGCGGAAGTTCTCCTTCTCGGTTCGGGTGGTCAAACCGTGGAATGAGCTTCCCGCAGATGTTGTGATGCCACCATCTATACAAAGTTTTAAGAAGAATCTGGACATATTTATGTTCCGAAATGACCAAGATCGATGAGAAGTCGAGCTCACCCCCTGTAACTCCTTCTCATTTTTTCCCACCATTAGGGGCGTGTTCGAACTATTTCAGCCCAGAACATCTATCTGTACACCACACATTTTTTACGTTGCAAATAGGGTACTCAAAGGCTTACGCCTATTTCCCTCAATAAACTGAACTGAACTGAATGAAAATCCCGAAAATTTGTACCTGACGAATGTTCCGCCGACGTGTCGATCTTCCTCCGTACCGGTCCTGTGATACATGAAATTACCTGATTGCTGTCCGTCGAAATATCTCAATAGTGCAGTTGCCAAAACGGGGATGTTGGGCAATGGCATAGGCGCGTGAAAATAAACAAAAATTGGATTTACCTTTAAGGACAGGAAAACGTGGACAGGACATGAAGGACTTCTTCTCCTTGGATCCGTCCGCCCAACAGAAGTTTTGGCATAAGGGCGGCCCAATAGAACCGTCAGTAGGTTTCTGAGGAAGTCTGCCTCATTTCGACCACCTACCATGGCCAGTTGCCGTATCTGAAAACAATCAAGTAGATGTGCACATACCGCCTCGTTTGCAAAACCGTCATCTACGCTGAGCCGACGAAGAATGTTTTTATATGCCTCCTCGGTACACAGCGGTAAATTTAGGGAGGAGGATGTGACAGAACCGGCGCTGGAGGCTCTCTGCAATGCATTGACAACATCTGATAGTGTTGCCTGCATCTGCTGCGCACTGCTTTGAAGAGGCATAAGTTGCTCAGCTAGGAAATCGTTCCTTTTCCTAATAGTTTGTCAGGGAGATTGTTCACAGTCTTACTCAATTGCCGCTAGACGGAAATTTGTGTTTACTAACTGACCTTTTATGTCAGCTATGTCATTTTGCACCTGCTGGCTGAATTCCGTCGAAATTGTGGCCGTGGAAACATATGAAGAAATTGTCGTGGAGTGTCTTAAGTAATAAATGATAAGCGTTGTCTACTCAAATAAGGACAGTGGTGTTGACTGACTGGGTTAAATCGACGCAGTGGAAAACAAGTGTGACACATTCTCATCCGTTCTTGGCCTACGAAATGTCTACAATAGGCATACTTACTTAATGACACAGAGTGTCCACCAAAACCAAGTCGCCAAGTATGCAACAATTTTCGCATAACACCGAGGCAGACTTGGTGCATGTAGTCAAATGGGAAACAGGAAACCATGTCGATGGGCAAATCCTCGAAGGGAGATCTGCCCTTATGATGCGGTCCCTGACTTCGCAACCTAAACGACCTGTCATCACGCAGACGGCCACTGTACTGCGGGAATGTCATGCGATTCGCAATATGTTTCCCTTTGTGACAGCATCTACAGCAGTTACGATTGCAAATACAGAATAGCATACCTTTCGAATCCATGGTAACCATTGTGGGTCTTCACGTGTCGTACATAACAGCGGGCTGGGGTGTCGCAAATCACATTGAGCAAATCCACTTTGATGACACTTTCTGTACGTGGATCGCGCAGGTCCGTGGTGAGAAAGCCCTTCAGTTCACTAACACAACCGCCCAGAAAGTCTTCCAACGTTTCGAGATTACCAAAACCGCAGAACACCCCAACGACATAGGGCTGCCCAACAACGAGATGTTTAACACGCGCAAGGATCGGCCACAAGCACTGAGCAGACCCTTTAAAGACTTTCATTCCGTCAATGTGCAGTTGAACGTGCACTTCAGGAATGCCCGTTCGTGGGCCAAAGCGCAATTCGTCGAGGAGGCCGCGTTCGAGACCCAGGTGAACGTATTTTCCTCTCGTCAGGGACTTGCTAACGCAAGTTCGAGGCGTCTGCAGTAGCGTCCTTGGGTCGTTGGGTAGCTCCGAATGATAGTGCCGCAGCACCTGAAACAAATCATTTGCTGTGGTCAACGACAATTTCGCCCTCAAACCGAATTCGCGCAAATCCGTCGTTAAGCATCTGCCTTCCACTGTGTCCACGGTCCCAGCCACTACAGGCAGTTCTATATATTCCAGTAAATAAGGCACATACAACTCCTACCCGTTGAAACCTCCGGCATTTGTTGGGGCATTTGCATTTCCGGTGACTCATTTGCAACTGAAGACTTTGATGCGATGGGTTGCTCCTCCATAGCAGCATAATATGCCCGCCTCTGGCGCAAGAGCCGCTTGTATATAGTGCTTCGGGGAAAGCCGTAATACTTACGCTTCATAGCAACGATTAACTACTCAACGACAACAAATATTTGTATTTTTAACATTGTTCGTAAAATCATAAGTGAAATTATACTAATACATATGTTACTACACCTTAATAAGCGTAACGCATCCCCTAAATGGCATAACTTGGAAAATAAAGAAGTATCAGACACAAAATGGACGCCGAACTACTTGTCAATATGTCATAGACAATCACAGGACGCGAGAACCTCCACGTTTACCCCAGACACAGCAAAAGATCAATGGCGTCTAATTGGCCCACTTAAACAAAACACCTTAATTAGCATATTTCGAGACATAACCACTGCTCACAATATGAAGATTCCTGGTACTTTATGAGTGATATAGGATATATCTTGACTAATTTAGCACTGCAATGCAGAAGTGGTCACCTACACGATTGGGAGGTCCTCCAAAATTTCTTCAAATTAGGCGTGGCCATGGCCGCGCTTGGCCACACCTGGCCACATCTACAAGGTGTGGCCAGGTGTTGGCAGGGGTTGGAACAGATAAACATAAGAAAGTCTAGGCGCAGCTACGCTAATCTTTTTTGAGTTCAAACTCGTCGGGATTTTTTTCCATCGATTTCTTCGTTCTTGCACTGATAGAGTAAAGTTCATACTACGAAATTTCGATTGCATCCTAATCTTCTCTCCGGAGGTTGCTCGTAATTCCACACCAGCTGGTGACCTCCAATACCACGGTTATGGTCTCCCTTAGGTACATTAGACTAATCGTTGTTGATTTATGCAGAAAAGCTAAGCGCTTTTTCATAGAGGAAGAGATGTCAGGCTCTACTCCCATGTTCAGTGCATCTGTAACTTCAACCGGCCGAGTTTATCGCGAATTACATTGTGGACAGTAACTGATTGACATGATGTCGCAATTGGTCGTTTACAAAATGCATTAGATCAGGAGTGAAATTTAGTCCTTTCAGCCAGAGGAAAAACAGTGCTTATTACCTGTATAACAAATGCTCTTCTTGTGTACATGTTGGGAATAAAATTATTTAATAAGATCTCCATACACTACAGTAGTACATTCTTCGTTAATACTGTAGCACTACTAAATCCCAGGTATGTATTTTCTGTCATTATAAGACCTTAAACTGACTTGAAGTCGATACTACGTGAAAGCACATTGAGCGTGGGAGGTGTGAACCACATACGCAATCACTGCACGTGAAGGACCGATAATATGTACAGCGCCATTTTGCATATCATACATTGCGGCGTAAAGGTCCATGATTACTAAACTTAAGTGTTTTAAAAATAATATAAATCACAATTTGTATGGAAAAGTCGATGCTCAATGTTAACTACCCGCCAGACGTGCCGGTCGACCCGAATATCGAATGCGGCAAGATAACCTATGCAGATTGGAATAAAAGAAAATGGCAAAACCGACCAAGACAAGGGAGACTGGGATGGTTATTTTTGGATTGTTAACCGTCGTTAGCCGTCGTCTGCACTGTCATTCCTTTGCTGTACCTCTGCCGGCGGGGCTCGAAACAGAGCCCCTGAACACAACGTAACGCTTGAGTTTCGTAACGCGATCAGGGCACCCCACTCTACGATTCTGATGATATAGCCTGCATGCACATGAAGATACTAATAGCTGACTAGATACAGCGGACATGTGTTTGACGTGCGTTTACTACATCGAAAGTCGGGCGGAAAGATAAATTGAGCTGTGCGAGGTTGCTGTCTGGTTTGGCGCGATGGATGCGTCTTTGACGTCCACAATAACTGCAATTGCTCCTGTGAACATAGCTTTACTGAAGTACTGTAAGTTTGTGGTCAGGTTATGTATCAGTTAAGGCCCATGTTACGTTGTAATATTTCTTTGCTGTCTATATTATCTCACTCCCACTTGTGGTGCATGGGAAGGCGCACAAAGGGGATTTATGAAGGGGGCTCATGAAATGAAGGCTTTCTAACTGACTGAGAGCCCTATAGGGTAAAGGCACATAGTGACGACTACGCATGGTCCTGGTCATAACTTTTGTAGACCACACGGTTGCGCAGAGTACCTTTTCAGTCTTCTATACTTTGTCACGTAGGTGCGTAGCCCGTAGTCATCTTAAAAATCGAGACTACAGACTTCTTAGACCTTTTGGTTAAGATTTATTGACTTTGTCATGGTTTTTATTCAAACCGTTCTATACATGTAACCATACCCGGTATTTCTACCCGTGTTTGCCGACACAACAGGCTTCAGTTGGGGATTTTGAATTCCTAGCAGTTTCGTTATATGTTAGGTAATATACTATTTTTAATTTGAATTAGCTGCCCCCTGCGAATTTTTAATGTTTTTTATTCCTAACCCTTTGGTTCTCATTTTCCTTCTAGGGGGAAAAATAGATGAGCTTAATGTCCAACCGTTCACCGACTCCATAAGTCTCACCCTCAGTACCGACCACGTAACCTCTCATTATTTTACGTGTTATTGCTTTGAAGAAATAAATTTAACTTTTCTCTATAATTAGTCATCCTTCGTAAATGGTTGATTCAATCGTCTTATCACTTTAGCTGCACAGTCGAACCCGCATACGACCGTCTCCAGGCAAGGAACACACGTTTTTCCTCAATGGGAAGTAAGCGACAGCTTATTTTTACAGCCGCTACTTAGACCATACAAAATCAACCACCGTATGAAAGATATGATCATTGTCAGTCTGTACACACATGTTATTTATTTACACAGCCGACGTGTAGGTAGCCCAACTGCGATCAATGTTGAAAGGAAAAATTTCGACACTCCAACGACTGGAAATCGAAAGTGATAATAATTTTCCAACCGCCGCCGGCCTGGCTTCTTCAGCATCTGGAATGGCATCCTTAGGTAGATATTTTCCTCAGTTCACGTTTATAATTAAATTTACTCTAAGAGAGCCTCTAGAAGACGTCGACTCGGCGTTGCGCCTTTTTCATAATATTTTCTCTTCGTTGAAGCTTCAGTAAACATCCCTTGACGGTGTGATATTTCATGCCTTCCTGAAAACATTGGCATAATCAAAGACAAAAAGGACTGACAGTTCATGCTAGTATTGGAGAAGGTAGGTAGAACCAGTGCAGAAAAGTTTATCGCGTAACAATCTGAGCTTTCGGACCTATACAGCGGCCTGTTATCAGAGACAGAGGGCAAGTAATGACGAGGACGCAGCCTTCCAAATTTCTTGCCGTCTATATTTTGCGTGTGTACTTAGTTGGGAGCAGGACTCAGCCTGTGGTACCAAACCCCCAATACCTGATGGGCTGGGATCAAACCTGTTTACCGGTTTGTAGATTTTCTGTCAGAGTTCGAGGCCTCAGGCAACTTTCGACCAGTCTTGTCACTTGTCCTCCATGTGTCTGCGCTGTCATATTCGTGATCACCTGGATACCGTGGACCGCAAATTTGGTCGGTTTGTCACGTATTACACTATCGGTTAGTGACCGTGCATAGTTTTCAGAACAGTTTCTACCTTAGGTATTACCAGCAACTCACATTTTGCGTACTTTCAATTGATATTCATATTGACCCAACTGTGAAAAACTCGGCGCCTCGGTGGGATTCGAACCCACGCAGTAAGTGGAAGGCTTTAGCGCAGCCAAGCGCGCAAGTGGAAGAGGAACAAGATAGAAAAATCAAACTCAAGGAGTATCCTGGAGTGCAACCTTACTCACCTTGCTGCATAAGTACGAGTTTCGGAACCCGTATAGCAGCCCATCATCAAAAAGGAATCGACCATCAGCATTCTAATTTCGCATGTAAACGCCGTCGGACTTGTGTGGAAGCCAACGACAAAGGTGAAAGCAGTTGAAGTCCCGTTGCGTGAACTCTAGATTTATGCACCTACGCATGACGGCAAAGGGGGTCCGGATGAGGGAGATCTACAAGCTGATGATAAGGCTGTTAGTGATAAGTCAATGTTATTCACTTTTGTTTAATAGCCAACTACCTATGAGTCAGGAATCCAGCCGATAGCTCTACCATTACACGTGATGGCGTCTATCTCTACTTCTCGCTGAGGACGCGATGGTGGCGTCCGTGTGCATTTTTTTCGAAGCGGACTTGCGCTGCATCTATGTTATTTCACCCTTCCCACACCCGGCCCTTTTTGGCGATATGACAGTACGAAGACCGCTGATGATGGACGTAGTTGCGGCGGCTAACAAAGTTAAAAGGCCAGTCTATGCGTATCGCACATCACCTGGTCGATAACACCACATGTGTCAGTCTTAAAAGAAGGGCGTCGGATCTCGCAGCGTTTAGAAGCTGAAGAGTCACACCAAGGAGGAGCTCTTGTAGATGGACCCAATTACTCCGTCATTTAGTGTGCTCATACTTGCCACCTCGCTTGTCCCGTCAAGTCGGCGGAAGAATTTTCAGCTTTCCTCTGTGTCTCAACGAAATCCTATTCCATTTGGTCAGTGTATTTACTTTCGAGCCACCTCTGAGATTCCGTGTATTTCCATTGATTTTTAGCCTACGGCCTCTCTCTTTTCTACGGACTCGATGGTGATATTGCGTCGTTGGCAAGGTAAGTGATCATAAAAATGAGTATCGCTAGCCACACAATTGTAAAATGTAGACCTAAACCTGCTGACGTCATCAGTCGTCAGTACATTTTCGGCGCTAACTCGCTCTTCAAGATTTCTAAATGGTAGAAAGGTAGAGTCTTTAATAAATCATGCTGTTGAAATAGTCGTTCTTATCCACGGAGCGAGCATGGTTTAACGGTATAGGCCTGATGTTTCCTGAGACTATCAAGGTGCTTGTCCTATAGGAGGAGCTTCAGCAAGCTGTAAATTGGACATGCATTTTTACGATCTCATGTCTCATCTTATTCTCATGAAAAATGATGGTTTAATTAAAATGAGTTACCTGCTAGGAGAGGAAACTCCACTCACTATTTCAAAAGCGCCTCCGAACCGCTGAATCTAAGCGTGCGTTTGGCGGATCAGGCAGAAGACCAGACTCCGAAAACATGTTTCGTTGTAGCGTTAGA